GCTTCATGCAGCAATGGTTCAAGGTAACTTCCTGTCTTTAGGGTAGACTATAATCCAATGGCTTAGACCATGGATTTCTCCACCCTAGACACATCATGGCCTGCCACATTATGTTCATACCTAGGTGTTATCCACAATCATGTCTTTAGAAATCATGTCTAGGTTGTAATGAGATTAGCTCAGTGTCTATATACATCATAGGCACTTAATCAGTGGTGGCTAATAGAGCTACTCTATTATAGAATGCTAGTTTCATTCATTATGCTCTATGTCATCTGTAAAAGTTCTAGGGACACATGAATTTGCCCCTCTACACATGTAACAGACATTCTATTTTCTTAATATATCCATTAACAAATGTGATTTAGGGAAGAATTGGACTGGTATATTTATATTGATCTCAGGTATTCTCATCCTGAAACCCATTCTTTTTTTTTTAACACTTAGTTATTTATGCATATAAGAACTGGGGTACAGGCCAGAGGTCTGAGGAGGTAAGAGGATTCCCTGGACACAGAGTGAAGAATAGAACAGGCAGTTATACTGAAATACATTGTTGAGAGGAACAGCAGACATGACGGGAGAGATCTGCTGTGCCATGTGAGTCACCTCCCTGGCTGGGGATCGAACTCATCCTGTAGTGGCTGCAGATAGCTTCATAATGCTGAGACTTAACCCTTGTGCCACCAGAGGGTCCTATCAAGCCCCTGCCACAACAGATGGTATTTGGGAAGAGTGGAAACAACTGCTGTAAATACTGGTGGAGAATTCAACTGGCATCCTTGGCATAACTCTGGAGACACAGCTGCTGAAGAAGAATTCCCCTGGGTGTGAGAGAGATGACAGGAATAGAACTCTACAAGCTGTTCTTTTGCCTTCCCAAATACAGTTTCTGGCCAATTCTGGTCATTCCTGGTTTCTCAAACCCTTTCTCTTCATATAGTCTTAGCTGTCAGGTCCATTCCAGACCCATATTGCCAAAGTGGACCTGGTCTTCCGTGCCATATTTTGTTGTGAAGACACTACAGAAACTAAGTGTCACCACTGGTTTATGCAAACAGGAGTGTTCTGTAGTGAGTGCTGATCAGTTGGCATCAACACACTTTAGTTTAAAATGTTTGATGAGGAATAGCAGGAATATAACAGACCAGGTGAGAAAATAATAATAATAATATTAATAATAATGAACAGCTGTATACTAGAGATATTTTATGGGGGATGGGAGGGTGGGGAATGACATCAAAAACAGTGAGGGGAGGGAAATGCACTGGACTGTGGTGGTGGCATACAAGTGACTTGGTGATGGGAAGCCCACAGGGATTACAACTGAGATGGAAAAATGCACAAAATGATGTAAAAATACACTATTACTCATTTTAAAAAATGTTTGATGAGGAAAATCTAGGCAACGTCAAAAAATCTTCTTGGAATATTGGAAGTGGTGTTGGGTTTTGGAGTGGATTAGATGCTATGTTCTCTCATAAAGTTCACTCCTGTAGCCTAGACTTGTCTGTTGAGATCCTTTGTTCAGGATGACATTTTTATATAATGCACAGAGGAGAGGGCAGAGCCAGGGCAGAGAGAACTGGAAAGAGTGGGTGGCCACTCATGTGGCCTGACAGAGAAAAAGCTGTCAGGCAGCAGAATGTTGCTGAGGGAGGCGTTCACGGAAGGAAATAGACCCATTCTTGAAGAAATCATCAGCAACAGAGAGAAAGGGGAACACTAGGCTCCTCTGATCCAGAACACAAAAACATGTTGGATATAAATAAATCCAAGTATAAGTAAATAAGCCCTAAGAAACAAAATCAATAGTTCATTTAGTGTAATGATTTCCCATCGATACTGTGACAAATTAGCATAAATTTACTGTCTTGAATAGGACAAATATAGTCATAGAGTTCTGGATGCCAGATGCTTGAGATCAGTTTCAATGGGATAAAGTCAAGGTGTTGACAGGGTTAGTTCCTTCCTATGAATCTGAGGGAAAATCCATTTCCTTACTTTTTTTCAACTTCTCATGGTCACCTGTATTCCTACATTTCCAGGCCTTTCCTCTCTCTTCAAAGTTCTATACTCCAGCTGTTCCATCTGTCATCACATTACCTTCTCTGTCTTCTCCTACACCCCTCTAATAAAGAATATTATGATCACATCAGACACATTGTACAATCCCAGATAGCCTTCCCATCTCAAGAGTTTGAATTTAATCATAGGAAAGTCCTGTTTGCTAGTATTCATAAATTTTAGAGATCAGCACATAGGTATATTTGGCAGGAGGGAGGCCTTATTCAGCCCATTATAATTACCATAATTTAGGTTTAACAGCTAGAAGCTTAGAGGTGATCGGGAGTAACATAAAAATGCCATTTTAAAGGTGTAAAAGTTAATGAAAATCCACAACCACGAGGATATTGCTTAGAGAGAAGATACTTTGAGCATCAATTTGGTCAGGATGCTGGTTTCCCCCAGGGAGTCTCAGCAATGAAGGAAACTTGGTTACCCCATGGAAAAAGCTGTCTTGGGGAGCAGTTGAAGGCAGACCCTCGTGTATGCTCAATGACAACAACAGATACTCATTCTATTCCTTTTTTTCCAGGAAATATTTGCTGAGAGCCTATTCTTTGCCTGACCCTACCACAAGTTGGGTATTAAGACATGGTAGATATGTACTCGTGGTCTATTTTAGATCAGTAGGTGATTCAAGCCAGGAAGCACTTGAAGGGCACATATGAAGGGTGAAGGAGCACCTAGGAGGAGTGTCAGTGCCGTCTCAAATTGCAGGGATAAACACCTGACTTGTATCCCACTCCTAGATTAATGTGGAAGGGTATGTCTTCTTTCTCTCTAGTGAAGCAGAGATTAGTGTGCAGGGAAAATAAGAGGGGAGATGGGGAATGTAGAAGGAACCACCAAGAAGTTGACAGGGAAAGGTGAGATGCCTCTGGATTAGAAAGTCAAAAATAAAGACTGGTGCCTAGGCCAAAGGGAAAAATTAGCTTGTGCATTCATTCTTGCACGCATGCATGACATAATATCTACTGTGCATCTAACAGTTGCCAGACACTCTTGCAAGCCTGGGATGTGGTGGGAATTCAAGCAGACAAATAAATAAATAAATAAATAAATAATCCTGTCCTCATGGGTTTGTTCTGCTGGGGAAAGATAGTAAACAGGTAGGTAAATAGTATGTCATCTGGTAATGTGAATTATGGTGATAAATTAAGTAAGGAAGGGGTTTGATGGAAAGGATTCCTTCTCTCATTAGCATTTATTTATGGAGCCTCTGGCATGAGCTGGGCAGTGGGGTAAATGCTGTAGGATGGACATAAATTCATTCATTCATTTGTTAAATATTTATTGAATGTCATCTATATGACAGTCACTGTGCTAAGTCTTCAGAAAACAAGGTCTCTGCAAATTGGCACTTCCATACTCATGGAAGTTGGTTATTTAACAGTTAGATGTTCAGGATGTATAATTACCAACTGAAGTAAAGCTATGAATAGGACGTAATGTGTACATGTATTTAAACTGGGGGTTAGAACAAGAAGCAAGGTAGTCCCACAGGGATTTGGCAACCAGACCAGCATAAAAAACAGAGATCCAAAACCAGATTTAGACATCAAGGAAAACTCATACATGGTAGGAGGGGACACTGCAGGTCAATGGCTAATAAAAGTTTGTGAGCTGACACATTAACCATACAGAAAAAAGATTTAATTGGATTCCTGCCTCATATATACACAGAAATTAGTTCCAAGTGCTTGAGACATTTTAGTGTGAAAGGAAAAACTTAAAAATTTGTCAGAGAAAATATAGACTATCTTAGGAATAGACAAGTTACAAAAAGCACTAACCATACAAGCAAAATATTGAAGACTGACATAGTGGTCTAAATAAAAGACAGAGAAAGATTTTTAAAAATAAAGGAAAAATAGGTGTTAAGCTAGAAGGCAACATCTGTATCGCATACAACTGGCATGTAAATGGTCTTGAAAAATATGTGTGTCTATAGACTAGACTACAAAAATCAGTAAGAAAAAAAAAACTCAGTGAAGCCATGGGTACAAATCTGAGCAGGCTTCCCACCCCTCCCTCTCCCCCCCCCAAAGAAACTCCATGAGAAATAAGCATATTAAAGCTGTTCAACCTCCTTAGCAGCTAGGTAATGAAACTCAAAAATTAAAATGCCTGACAATAATATACCAGCACTGGCAGATCTTAGACACTAAGCAAGTTTGGGTTTGGCTGGGACTCTGTTCCTTCACTTCTGTCTCACTCTCGCCCAGGAGACTGGGATTCATCTTTGCCGCTGGGTGTAGACTGATGGGGAGTGAGGGCTGGGTGAGGGCTGGTACCAAGGTTCTGAAATGCTTGGTAAAGAGCAGTCGTAACTGTCTACACCTGCCATTTGCCTCCTCTTGTCTAGTGCTTTGACTTTTCTTCCTCTCCCAGTGATGAATGAAAGAACTAATGAATGAATGAATGGACACTGCGAGTGAATGTCTTCTTTAACCCCACTTCCTGTCCTCCCCATCACCCCCAAACACACACACATACCCCGCCAGGGACGGACAGTCTCTCTGAATTATACTAAATTCCCATCGAGGGAGTTCTCTGCCCTGGTGGTTCCGAGCGTGGGGGGAGAGGACCCGGATGGAGAAGGGGCCACGGAAGAAACAGGGGAAGCCCCCAGTTCCGTGTCGGGTCCCAGCAGCCGGGAGGCCCCGGGATCCCCGACGCTGGGGTCAGGGCAGGAGCCCACTCAGTCCACAAGAAAACCTCGCTGAGCTGGAGCCTCGGGCTCAGCCGTGGGACTCTCCCACGCATTCGCCTTTCCCGGCGTCTCCCCGCGGCGGGTCTGGGAGGCAGCGGGGTGGGCTGGGCGGAGCTGCAGGGAGGCGCCCGCGAGACTGGGCTGGGGGAGACGCGCACCGGCCATCCGGCAGGTCGCAATTGGACGACATGTTCGGCATTTCATTCCGGGTAGGATCCCGGCGGCGGGACGGCCGGGACTGGAGAAGCCTGAGCAGGCAGCAGGGGAAGTTCGATGGGGCCCTCGGAGCTGGAGTGGGGGGCGAGGGCAAGGGTTGGGGGGGACCTGCCGGTCGGGGAGCAGAACAAGACAGGCAGCCAGGTGCCAGAGCTGAGGCTGTGGGGTTCAGTCTGCTTAGTGGCTGGGCTGGGGATGGACGTCCAGAGCCCCAGGCAGGTGGGTACCCCTAGGGTTATCCCACCACTTCTGCCAGGCTTCTTCTTGGGCATTGGGGTGGGGACAGTGTTGCTACACCTGAGAGCTGACCTGCGAGGGAAGGCAGGACTTGATTGTCCCACATTATCCCACCAGGACCCGTCCCTGCTCCTGGCCATCACCATCATTGGGGTCACAGCGCTCCTGTTGGCCCTGAAGAACATGAACTCAAAGAAACAGCTTGTCACCCTACGAGACCCTAACACCAAGTACCCACTGCCCTTGATTGAGAAAGAGGTTAGCCCACCTGCTCCCCTGTGAGTGCGTGAAAGTAGGGGACAGGAGTAGAAGACAGGACCTGGGGGCAGGCATCCATGGCCTGGGATTTACCCCCATGGGTTTGTGCGCTTGTGCGCTGGGAGAGCACCAAGTTCCCTGGCATCCCAGCCGCCCAGCGAGGTTTCTAGAAAGCTGACAGTCTGTGGCTGTTTTCTGTCTTATAGCAAATCAACCACAACACCCGGAGGTTCCGCTTTGGGCTGCCCTCGCCAGACCATGTCCTGGGGCTTCCTGTAGGTAAGCGGGGCTTGACATCATCACCAGGACTGGGGCCTTGTACAGCTGTGCATTCTGCTCTATCAGAAACATAACTGAGGTATGAAGGTGGTTCTGAAGGCTCTCGGAGCCACGAGAGCCCACCGTCCTTTCTCATCGTTCAATTTGGCCTGACACAAAAATGATTATCTCAGTGAGTGACAACAAGTGAATTTAGGGTTAGAGGTCTAATCTTGCTGAACAACATTGGACAAGTCCCTCAACATCTCTGAGCTTGTCTATAAATAGGGTTTTGTTCTGCCTGATGACTGGATGTGGGTTTTCAGCAGGGACTGCAGAGCCAGAGTACCAGCCACAGCTGTCCTGGAATTCCAAGTTACCCTGTTTCTAGTCTCTAATACCACCTGACAGTTGTTCAGGCTGAAGTGGAAAACCTCTGCTAAGCCCAAACTTAGGGATCCAGGCTTCTACAAACTGCTTGTTTGGCCCTCCTACAAGACCCCATAGTGCTCTGCATCCCGAATCTGTCCTTTATGGGAATCCTGGGGCTCGTTACATTGCCCTTGCTCAGATCTGACATTTCATGCCTTTCTGTAGGTAACTATGTCCGTCTCTTGGCCACAATTGATGATGCTTTGGTTGTCCGGGCTTACACACCTGTGTCCAGTGATAATGACCGAGGTTTTGTGGACTTAATTATAAAGGTGAATAATCCCTGCCACGCTTAGCTGCCTTACCCACACCAGCCTGGGCAGGGCTTTCTGACACTGATAATCTGGTGGTTTCTGCAGGGACTGCTGACAGCAGCAGTGAGTGTAGAGAGCTCCACGTGGTTTCCAGCAGCAGATGCATTCTTGAATTATGTGCAGCTGTGAATCAAGTTGAGTGCACCATCAGGTTTGATGGTGTGGAAATCAAGCTGCCTTGTTTTTCAGGTCTACTTCAAAAATATACACCCCAGACATCCAGAAGGGGGAAAAATGACTCAGTACTTGGACAACATGAAAATTGGGGATACCATCCTTTTTCAAGGGCCAGTTGGGCGCCTGTTCTACAGTGAACCAGGTATTGGGAGGTTCATAGTGGGCCTCCAGGAGCAGGAAGCTTCCTGCAATGGCCCTATTGTTCAAGAAAACTCCTCAGATTTGCGTTATATAATGGGTTCATACACTCATGCACACATCCAGTTCCAAAGGTTCGGGGAACAATTTGCTTTTTCTTTATTATCGCTGTATGTCCAGCAAAACGCCTGACAGTTCAGAGCTGTCGTAAGCTGAAGAATGGATGTATGGGCGCAGCACCTACTCATTGATGAATTTACTCCTTCACTGTGGTGGGCGGAGAGCGAGCTGTGAGATTTCATATTAGCCTCTGTGTCTTCCTTCTTCCTCAGGAAAGGTCCAGTGATTCCCTGAGGAATCATTGTGCAACTGGGCTGGCCCAAGAAGCCATCCTGGCCTGCTCCTGTGTCTTAAAATGGCACAGTTTCATCCTCAGAAGGCCTGGCCTCCTGGGGGCCCCAGGGAAAGCTGGCGATCTTCTGCAGGCTCTCAGACAAAAGCTACAGAAGTCACCAGTATCCTCTATGTTTCAGGAAAGTTTTCAATGAAGCCAAACAAAATGAGTCAACCAGAAATCAAATTGGTTCAACACTTGGGAATGATTGCCGGTGGCACAGGTAAGAGGGTTAGGGTGTACCCAGAAACCTTTTTGACTTTAGAGGCATTTGCTCCTGGAAGGACTGATGTGAGCTTCCGTCCCTGACTGTTTTAGATGTGAATACAGGTCAGTGATGGCCTTAAAGCTGACCCTGTTCTCCCTGCTCTCCTGACCAACATGAGAGCTACCCCAGGAGCCATTTCAGGGGTTCCCAGATTTACTTCAAGCCTGACTCCCCATCTCTTGAACACACACACACACACACACACACAAAAGAGAGAGAGAGCAGACATGTAAGGAGACCTACAATGAGTCTAGAACCATCATCAGCACTTTTTGAAAAGTGCTGTCATTAATATCTTTGCCATGAATTCTGTTTTGTAGTAAGGACCCTGCAGAGCTCAGACTCGTCTTGACTCTCCCTGGTCAGACTTTAGTGAGGGAGGGAGCTGGGTGTGCAGCACAGTTCTGGTTCCACAACCAGTTCTTTCATCTTGCCATCTGAAAAGTGGAAAAGGCTTTTGATGTGTTATTGCATTCAGAGGAGAAACCAAAATGTAGGGCAGTTTCCCACCTTCAGTTTGGGGTACAGGAGTAAGAAAGGAGAGTCAGGGCCAGGGGGTGCTGGGAAGCTACTCCAGACCAGGGGCGGCGGGCGTCAAAGGAGCAGCCAGCCTCCAGCCGCGCTGACTGTGTTCCAGGCATCACGCCCATGCTGCAGCTCATCCGCCACATCACCAGGAACCCCGGGGACAGCACTACAGTGTCCCTCCTCTTCGCCAATCAGGTCAGTTCTGCGGAGCCGTCCTGAGGGGGTAGGGTGGGATGGACCGCGTCTGAGTAGCTCTGCGTTCACGGACCCCCGACTGAGGTTGCTGCTAGGGCCCATGGCTGTGGGAGGCTGGGCCCAACTTGGTCACCAGTTGCAGCCCCAGGCGTGAGTCCAGGCCTGTGCTCCCACTTTTTTCCTAAAGTTCTCCAACCAGTCTTAAGCAGCTTTCTTTCCCTCTTAATACATGGTTCTATGTTTTTGTAAGTATAAAATCATAGCCTAGCAGCTCTTAGTGGAAGTTTCAGAAAGTACAGAAGCATGCAAGTATTTACATTTCACTTATGTTGTGTCTGTTTTCTACACATGCTGTATATTTACACTTACCTACATATATTTCGTAGTGTGTTTTCCCTCAACATTACCACATAGGCCTGTCCTTTTCATTAAACTGTTTTTTTTTTTTTTTTAAGATTTATTTATTTGTGCTTACAGAAATGGGGTACAGGCCAGAGGCTCAGGGGCAGTGAGTGTCTTCACCAGAGACAGAGTGGGGAGCAGAACAGGCAGACGGACGAAGTACACTGCTGAGGGGAGCAGCGGGCGGGTCAGGAGAGGTCTGTCACGCCATGTGGTCACCTCCGGGGCAGGCGGGGATCAGACTCATGCGGAAGCGGCTTTAGCTTCTTAGTGCTGTTTTAACCTGCTGCGCCACCAGGGAGGGCCTCATTAAACCATTTTTATAAATGTTTTCATTATGGTCTATATCAAGTTGCACCATAATCTACCAAATCTTACATACACATATTTTGGTTTTTATAGTTATAAATGATAAAGTGATGAAAAACTGTGCAGTGGGTTGATCACTTTTAGACCATTTTCATAAGTAGAATCTCAGGAGTGGGATTAAGCATCCTGAAGTGTTTTGAATCCAGGTCTTCTCTGTCGTGTCTTTCAACCTGTAACACGTTTCTTCTGGATTTGCACCTTTCTCCAAAGGAGTTTCCCATCTTTATTTTCCTGGCCCGTAGCACTCCACAGCTATCCTGTGTTGTGTTAGAGGTGACTGCCTCAGCCCCGCCCGTTCCCTGCAGGGGTCCTGGGCCTGCACCAAGCTCTTCTGGTGGTGTCTGGTGCTGGGACCCAGGTGAGATAGGGGCTGTGTCCTCGCAGTGAAGCCACGTGCCCTGCACAGCCCTGACCTGCCACTGGAGGGCAGTCACCATAGGGCTGACAGTCTCCCTAGTGCCTCCACAGGACAGAAAGTTGGTTGTGCAGATGTGGCTGAGGAACGTTCTCTTTGACCCAGAGTCTTCAGCAAGACCACTCAAGCTTAGTAGAGCACTGGCAGCTTGGCCAGAAATATCCTGACCCAGATGCTTGGTCTGGGAAGGGAGCAGCTGACCCCTTGAGGGGCTCTGCTCCTGTTGCTTTTTTTTCTAGACAGAGGAAGATATCTTGGTGAGAAAAGAGCTAGAAGAAGTTGCCAGAACTCACCCACACCAGTTCAACCTGTGGTACACCCTGGACAGGCCTCCTGCTGGTACGCTCCGCGTTGTGATGGGCCCTCCACTGTGGGCCAGCTCTAGCCCCTGGCCTCCCTAAGGGACTAGTTAGTCCCTGGTTGGTTGGTCGGCTTTTAGGGCTGGGCTTGGGACCCAGGCCTTGGCTCTGTTCCCATATTGGAAATGAGGGATTTGGGTGACCTGCTTACAAGGAAAGTCAGGAGCAGGTGTCTGGGTGACCTGCTTACAAGGAAAGTCAGGAGCAGGTGTCTGATCCTCCATAGCACTCCACCCCACCTAGAACACTGTGGGGGAGGGGAGACACCGAGCATCTGAGTTACCCCAAACACACACCCCCACACTATAGAGGACACCCACTGAGAGCCCTCTGACACAGTGCATCTATACCCGACACCTCACCTGAATAGCAGACCTGCCGTTCTGAACCCCAACCGCGTCCAGCCACCCCCGTGCTCCGTCCGTCCGCTAGGAGCTCACCACTCCGGTTAGCCGGCCTCTCCTGCGGCACGGAGCTGCGCTGCCTTGTCATACAGCTCACTGCCCAGCAGAGGGCGCTGCTGGCCGAGCTGCTCCCAAACCTCAAGGAACAGCCTGTACTGCTGTTCGTAGATTCCACCTTAAACTATACATCTGGGTAGCCCTTCACCTCGCTGTCAAGTTCTCCACCTCACCAGGGCTTACAGCAATCAGGCATCAGCCAGGGGTGTCAGACTCCCAACAGGGAGCCTGTGACCAGGTCCATCAAGTCCTCTACTTCCTGGCTTTATGCAGAAAACTATAATGCAAACGTCCTAGCCTGCAGAAAAGCCTTGCCTCCCTCTCCCTGGCAAGGAGGGAGGTCGGGGGTCAGAAGTCAGGGGCTCTACCTAGCACCCTCACAGTTTTTCTCTTCTTTCAGACTGGAGTTACAGTTCTGGTTTCATTACCTCCGACATGATCAAGGAGCACCTCCCTCCCCCCGAGAAATCCCCACTCATCCTGGTATGCGGCCCACCGCCCATGATTCACTCCGCCGCCCACCCGAGCCTGCAGAAACTGGGCTATACCAAGGACATGATCTTCATCTATTAACACTACTCCTGCGTCTAGCAATTTTGCTTGGTCCCCTTCATCTGTTTAAAGTGAGTTCGACTTTCCTGTTAAACTGGAGTGTGTTCAAAAATGTCATGTAAAGCACCCTCAGGCACTCCTGTTTCCTGTATGAGCCTGAGAAGAAGAGTTCGAGGGGCTGGAGACAATGTGGCTTCTGAAGCCCTTCGGTTTGAGGAGACTTCGAGGAAACCGTTTCAATATATTTTTTCCCCCATAGTTTAACGAAATAAACCAGTACAAAGCAGATAACCCATGAGGTGTGGCTCTCTGGGGAACCCACGAGGTAGGTAGAAGGCCTTTTAGCCTGCCCTGCATTTAACTTGGTTTGTGTGCATCCAGTCAGAAGTGGCAAATGTGCCAAGGAAGAATTCCAGAAAAATCTTTGCAGTGTCATGTCAGCTCCTAATAATCTCCAGAGTTCTACTTTTAAGGTCAGACCTATTGAAAGACGCTTCTCTTGTGGGAGGCCCTTCCAATGGGAATCAGGACAGTAAACCTACAGGGGAGGTGGACCCCAGGCACCCTACACAAGGAAAATGAAGGCAAGATATACTCTAAAGGCCTTGGTCAGTTCTGGTGTCTCAGGGTTAGAGTGGTTACACACAGAAACTCCTGAACATGGCAACCAAATTAGATCCAGAAGTTCTTCCTTCAGCCCTTCATATCACTAAGCCCAAAGGATCCGAGTGACCGTGGGTGCTGTCCGTGGCCAGGACGCTGCTTTGTGGGTGTGAGCCACAAACGGCTTCTGCACTTGAAATGCTCTATTTCTCATCAAAAGCCAGATTCTCTGGGGAGTTTGTTCTTCATACCACAGGTGAGGAAACAGGCTCAGAGTGGAAACTGTGCCCAGTTGCTCAGCCAAATAGGTGGCAGAGCTGGGCGTCTGGACTTGGTCTGTTTTATTCCAAGGTGTATTTAAAACTGGTACAGTAGCAGCCTGCTAGGACTCGATTTCTTCCTAGTGGAAACTGTGCTTAGCTGTGTGTGAGGCAAGGAGAGGAGCTGGGATCCAGGAGAGTGGACACCTCAGCTCTAGAGAGCTCAAATTCAGTTGTGTGGAGTATCCACAAGGTGGCCTGACAATGACCTTTCAGAGGGCCGCCGAGGGGGGCTGGGGAGACAGCACATGCTCATCATCCACCCGCAAAGGGTGTCCCCTAAATGCCCTCACAGGGGCACCCTGAATAAGCTCCTACAGATATGTTTTTTGAACAGACATCTCTCCACGCTTGTCCCCTGCTTTAACACCCGCTGCTCTCACTAGCTCCCCCACCTGGCCACACTGTGTCTCCAGGATAAATGCCAGAGACCTTTCTTGACCTGGCTCAGCGATTTTTCCTTCCCTGAGGTGCTTTCCCTAGCCCAGTTCTTTGCTCCAGTGGCTCCTCATTGGAGGCAGTTTTTCCCCTTCGGGAACATCCAGCAAGGGCCTGAGATATTTTTGCTTGTTACTAGAGGAGTACTACTGTGGTCTGAAGGGCTCCCCGGGAACAGTGGGGACACTGCTCAGCACCCCACAGCACACGCACAGCCCTTCACCGTGACTGTTCAGTCCCAGAGGACAACAGTGAGGGTGCAGGGCCACAGAGAAGCTGCTCTTGTCTGGCCAACTTTGACACAACTTAGGATGTGCAGGCCTGTTCGAGCCCATTGGCCTGGAGTGCCCAATTCATCTTTCAGAATGAAGTATCTCCTCTGAGTTTCTTCAGTTGCTGCCCATTGCCCTCCACTGAAAATGGCCGCTTGCTCTCTCGGACTGGAGAGATTTCTGTTGGAGCCTCTAAAACACTGAGCACACTGTAATTTGGGGGAGATCTGGCCTCCCCAACTGGACTGTCTGCCCCCTCACCCAGGGGCTCGCCTGTGTCTTTAGGTCTCCTCAGCCCAGCACAGAAGGCCCTTACCATGAACACATGAAGGAGCGGTGGGTGGGCCTAGGGCTGTGGATCTCCTGAGCAGTGTGAAGACCAGGACAGGGTCTGCTCTCTGTGCAGGCGGCAGCCCACAGCAGGCATTTGGAGTTTGGGCCAGGGGCGGGGGTTGAGGGAGAAGTGATGAGTGATTTAGGTGAGCTGGGATATGCCTGGGCTCAGGGGCAGGCATCGCTATGGGACCCAGGACCTTCAACCCAAACAGGGAAAGGCCGGGGCTGGTTATGAGGCAGGCTTATGAAGGCTGGTATTGAGAAGGACCTTGCATGTAAACTAAGGCATGAAGATTCTAACTCCAATCTGGTGATTCCAGAAGCAAGGAGTTCTTAGCAGAAGGGTTGACATGCTTAAAATAGTGTTTTGGGATGGTCATGCTGGGGGTGGGGCAGCAAACATGGAGGGAAATAACTGGAAAGGTGAGGGACCCGGTAGGAGACCAGCTGTGGAAATGAGAAGAGAGGTGAGGCCTGAATCAGAGCCTCAGGGAGGACAGGGAGTGGGGAGGTGCTGAAGGGTAAGGCTGATGGGGAGTGGGCTGTAGCGCTGGGGTTTGGTGGTGTCTCTTCCTCCAGCTCCCAGCACAAGCTCCCTGGGAAGACAAAGCTGGCCTGGAAATGTTGATTCGTGGTGACCACTGGGGGGCGCTATTTGACCAGCCAATTGATCTGAAGGAACAATTGCCCGTTCAGTGCCTCAGCTCTGTGAAGGCCTGTGGGTGTTGGGGATGTCTGAGCTGGGCGGTGAGGCTGGGAGGTCAGCCTGGGGCTGTACAGGTCAGAGTGGATTAAGGGCAGTGTCCCCACCCCTAAATGCCCTCACTCTGGCCAGATTCTTGTGAATGGAAATGCCAAAGGAGCCCAGGAGGGGGCTCCCTCTTACCCTTGCCCCCCAGCTCTTCACCAAAGAACATTCAGAGAACAGTTTTCAGAACATTTTTTCCCATGGAGCTTTTATGAATTCAGAGCCCTGCTCTTGGTGAAGGATCCTTCCAGCCGCCCCAGGAATAGCTGCGCCATCAGGTTCGTGCTGGTATCTCATTTCCCTCCCACAAAAGTGCTCTGCTGTCCACTTATAAAAGTACAAAAGGTATAAAAGTACAGTGAAGAGCGTGGCACGGTGGACACGCAGGGACGCTGGGGCCACTTCCTGGACGTCTGACCCTCAGCTCTGCTCCACGCTGGTTGGCACGATGTTGGAGATGCCCCACCAGCCCCCGCAGCCTGGACCTCACGGCGGCCGTGTGCCAGTCCCCGCTGGAGCAGACACTGGGGGCCCCCCACACGTGCCTCTCTGGGCTCTCAGCCATGAAGAAGTTCATCTCCAGTCCTCAGAGTTGGGCGTGACCAGGCAGGCGTTCAGCAGCTGGTCCTGGCTCAGCATCGTCTGAAAGGACAGCCGAGGGGGCAGCTGAACAGGGCTCTGGGCCAGGCTGCCCTGCGGCAGCTGCCGGAGGCAGAGGGCACTAGGTGTGGCTCTGGCTGACACCGGTGCCCTGTAAGTATTCGGTGTCTTCAGGACCCCATGTACCGGGTCAGAATAAACAGCACTATCAAGATCAAAATAAATGGCTCATACCTTAGAGCTTAAAGTTGACAGTTAAGGGCATAAAAGGCCTAGCAGAGGCGATAAAAATAAATGGGTTCATTTCTATGTATGAGTCAAGAAAAAAACTGAATGAAAGTGATCTTGTTTGGATTCAGGGAGACCCCCAACTTGGGCTTGGATACAGCCTTCTTTATGTGCCCCAGTAAGTCAACAAGCCAAGGACGATGACATGGGGCCTTCCTGTGGACACATGCTATAGCCAGTGAGCCCAGGAATAAGGAACAGGGCCTCATAAGTGCAGTTCCCGGTGGCTGGCCTCACCCTGCCAGCTCTGATCAGTCCACGAGTCTTGCAAGGATATTAGCTTCCTTAGCCAAGGCTCGGGAAAGTGACTTGCCAGAGACCCCAGTGCTATTAAGAGGCAAAGGCAGGACTTGATCAGATCAGCCTCACTCGAGGGCAGCCCCTCCTTTCCCTGCCCCCCGCCCCCATGAAAACTAAGCTTCCCTTTCCTCGGTGCTCCCATCCTCCTGTGATTAATTTGGCTTCACTGGACATGTCAGGATGCATATGGGAAATACCTGTGTCTCACAGGCAGAACAGGGTCTACTGGGTCAGAGAGGCCTGGGTTTTGGACTAACTAGGCAGGAGCCCAGAGCTGTGGAGCATCTGGGTCTCCTCAACAGCTACTAGACTGGGAAGAGCATCTGAGACCCAGAACACTTTAGCTGGCCCAGCAATAGGCCAATATAAGGCCTCTAGGCTACTTTGTGCCTTAGGGTCAAGCTCAAGATTTGGCCCCTGCAGACCATCCTTTGGTCTCCTCAGTGCCCCAGGCTCTGGGTATGGGACACAGTTTGCTCTAGGACTTGAGCACCATTTACCCAACTCCCCTGCCCCTGTCCAACTATGGGAGAGGGTCAACGTCCTACCGTGAGGCGGTGAATGTCTTGGGAGAGGAGCCCTATCTGCGTCACAGTGCCTTCCGAGGGTGCCATCTGTAAAACGGCGGCAGCCCAGTCAGCTCACGTGGCTCCTGGTTTGCCCTGGAGGCAGGCATGCAAGACCTGCCCTGCTCAGGCAGCCCTCCGGGGGGCCAGGCAAGGAGTGGGCCAGGATGGCCCCAGCACATGCTGCATCTGTCCAGAGCACAGGCTGGGTGTCAGCACCCCATGCTGCCATGCACACTCTCCTGGGCCCTGCTCGGCCTCAGCACCACAGCAGCAGGCCAGATAGGCTGACGGGAGCAGCGCTCTAGCCCATGATTACGCTCCAGCTTCTTCCAGGGAACAGCAGCAGCAATGAAAGCCTTCAGGATGAGCACACTGACTTTCTGGGACCAATAGGTCCCCAGGGGGTGGCACCCGGGTGTTGGCACAAGCAGGCATCTGGACATCCTCAAGGAGCTGCTAGTGGAGAATGCTCACCACCAGGGCCTCCCTCTCCTCCTCGGGTAACACTAGCCCATTCCCTCTTCCCTAAGCCTATTCAGCCAGTGGATTGGGAAGCCTCATGTGATAGCACTGGATAGCACTGGACCCACAGGGCAGACATCTTGCTTGAGGCTGTGTACGAAATTAGTGATGTTAACGACTCCATGCAGGTTTGAAAACAGGCACATGCAGTCTGTCACCAGGATGTGACAGGCACAAAGGGACAAAGCCTGCCCTGGGACCCCACAAGCACTGCCCAGTGTCTGCCCGGGAACACCTGCCATTCAATGGTGCTGGACCCTGGCATCAGAGGCCAGCTGGCCGGCTTGTCCATCTCTCCCCGGAGTGGCCGTCAGAAGAGGCCATGGCCTGGGCTTACGGGCTGTGCCTGTGGCTGCTGGTAGTCTAAGGAGCAAATCTTCTCTGACTCTCTGTCCAGGTCAGAATTCGAGCTCCCTTAGTGAGGCGTCAGGCCCGGCCCTATCTGCCAGATGGTTGGGCTGCGTTTAGGAGACCCAGGGGACCAGTGGAGCCAAAAGGCTGTTCTGGGGCCAACTGGAATCTCCATAGCAGGCGCTGGTCTGGCCAGGTGTGCCTCTCCCTCAGTCCTCGCCAGACAGAGCCCACCTGGAAAATCCATTATCAGTTACTCAGCCCCCAGATCAGAGGGCAGGTCTACTCCAGCTGGTTGGCACAGACAGACCAGCCTGCGTGGTTAGTAGACCCTGCAGCTGCCTCCATCACAGAGACACTGGCAAGACCCATGGAAGGACACAGGGGCCTTCCTGCAGAGCCAGCTGCCGTCACCCACCACCCCTTCACTACATGACTGGTGCCATGAAATGGAGGCCCGCTCTAGGGTCCCCCAACATGGCCTACGGTCAGGATGGGTGTGACACAAGGTTCCCCTGAGCGTCACAGAGAGAGGTGGAGCCTGAGGCTGGACAAGGCCAGAGGCCCCCTCCGAAGGAGAAGGCCCCCTACCCTGTGCCCCTGATCCACATCGCTTGTCAAATCCTGAGAGCGGGCGTGATGCCGTCGGCTCTCAAGCTGCACGGTGTGCAGAATTCCACCTCCAGATGTGCCCTCTCTGTTCCTCCGCATGTTCAAAGATAGGCCGCACTGTTCATTTTCTACATAAATACTGATTTTATTGCAAGAAGCAGCGCCTCTGTAGTAAGGCACGACACATTTCGCCGTCTCCGTGGCAGAGAGCCCTGCTGTGTCCCCTCGATCACAACCCTGACCTGTGGCCAAAGGCCCAACTGATTGCCCCTCAACTGATGTGTGATGGAGGGAGCTGAGAGCGGAACCTCTCACGGGATTGTCCGTGGTCTCTTGTGTCCAGGTTCATGTCTTTCCCATTGGGCTGAAGATGGACACGAAGAAACACTTAAAATGTACAAACGTCTGTAAGTGTCTTTCCTCCTGAGTCCACCTTTGGCAACAGTCCCAAACCCTGGTCTCTTAGCAAAGGGGTAATTCCACACCTCAGTCACCCTCAGGCTTCGCAGAGAGAAGGGGTGCGCAGTTGCCGGGGTGTGTTCTGCGAGGCAGGCACGCGTGCAGGAGGAGGATGCAGTTATGTGGTGACACACACAGCGCTAGTAAGGCTCTCGGTGCACAGCACGGGGAGGGGCCAAGGGCATCAGCTAATCTGTCCCACCTGGTCCAGCCCGTCCAGTTCAGGGGCATCCAGGGGGCTGAGGCCCCGGTAGCTACCATAGACCCTGTCGCTGGTGCTGTCACTGGACTCCATCGGGCAAATGTAGTCAGTCGATTCATCAAACTTCTTTTTCCTTATGTTTCCAAAATGGGAAAATCCTAGTTTCCTTGGCTAAAACACAGCAAATGCAAGATTACGAGGAAGAGATCATTAGAACATTGTGTAGATATAACTGATGGTGCACTGAAAGGCAGGCCCAGACGGACAGGAATAAGGCCACTGCTCCGAGAAAGACTCTTAACAAAACAGAGCCCCTGGAAGCAATTTCTATGCTGGAGAAAGGCATGGCAGATAAATCATCTCGAGCAGCAGAGCTGCTTCTCCAGGACTGCTGACACTCACGCTGCCTGCTGCCCCCCCGGAGACATTCTTATTTCCCGGTGGTTCTGGGCCTTCCTGGATGATGGCAGCATGGAGGCCCCGCCTCGCCACGGCTGCTGGCCACACACAGGGACGTTCTACCCACCCCGTACCCCCGGGAAGCCACACCTGACAGCCCCTTGTGGCCTTCCTTCTTGCTCCAACTTCACCTGTCCCTGACCACCCCCCAATCCTGCCTGGAGGCGGTCTGTATGTGATGGGTGACTGGCATCACCATATTGCAAGGCACAGGGCCAGCCTAGGCCCCGAGATTCTGAAAGGAGGCATGCAATCTACGAAGGACGTGTTCTGAGGACAGCATACAGTTTAGGCAGGTCAAATGGCCTGCTGGGAATTAGAGCGATGGAGCTGCTCCTTGGGCAACATCTTGACAGCTGTGTGCTGGCCAGCTTGGCCCAAGGCCCCATGGTACTGTGGCATGCTGACAACCCCGACCCAAGGGGAGCCCAGACTCGGGAACCCTGCTTTGTTAGGTGAGTCAAGGCAGTGTGGATAAAGGAAGTGCTCCTGGCTGCCTGCACAGAGTTTGTGTGTAAAGGAACCTGCACTCTCTACCTTGGACTCGACTGGCCAGAAGCTGGCCTAATGCAGACTGACAGACCGTGAGACCAAACTCCCAAGGCAAAAGTCTAGAGGGCCCAGCTGCTCACAACGGCCTGCTCTGGGCATGCAGCCTGCCACTGCCCACCGTGAGGCAAGAGGGCAGGGCCCCGTGGCTGCCCCAGAGAGGGGCCGGCAACTCACCCGGACTTTGGCAGTGGTGGTCAGTGGGGTGTAAGCTGGGGAGGACATCTTCTCTCGTTTTTCCTGTTCAGCCTCAGGACCAATGAGGGCATTGAACTTGGTGGTTAGGTGACGTCGGAGGAGTGTCTTTTGTGGTGGGATATTGAGAAGCATAGCCAGGGTGTCCCCAGTGAAGCGTGGCTCCAGGATCTAAGGAGAAATCACAGACAAAGCCAATGGTGATGCACGGGGACAGGAGCCCAGGGGGCAGGGACTGAAGCGCACCCATGGGTCTGCTCTGAGCAGACACCGGCACTTTGTGGATGGCCGCCCATGTTCACAGAGCAGCAGAAAACTGTGACCCTGGGAGAAGGCTCCGTCCCGGGTGGGCTCTGAACAACATCCCAGACACCATTCCTTGTTCCCCTCCTGAATCTGCCCCTTGACAGAGCTGAGTGCAGATGGACAGTGGCGTGGACAGCAGGAAGGCGTCTGGCTGCCGCCCCTTGGCCTCCTCAGCCCGTGTCCCTGAGGAGGAGGTGGAGCTGCCCTGGTTAAAGGCCAGTTCTCGGACAATCCTTTTGTCCTGGATGTCTCTGAATCTGCTGCTAGCATTGTCCTTCCAGAAGCCATCTTGTCCCCGTGAGGCATGCTAATCCTCAACCCTAAATGATCAAAATACTTTGAAATGTCAATCTGTACAGTCTATACAAGGATTTCAGAGGAGATACCAATGTTCATTTTTACCAGGATCTATGTCTAGACCTTAAAAAATTGGTTCCTGATAGTTCCGTTTCCACTGAAACAGGGGGTCTAATCCAGAGAGCCACTCACAATAAGACCCCCATGGACGCCACTCCCGCGAAGGTTGGGTGCGTACTCTGCCAGGTCCACGGACCGCAACCACTCCATCACCCTATGGTTGGACCACTGCACGACTTCAGAAGGGGAAAGGTTGCTCTGTGCGAGGGAGAAGAGAGTGAAAAAGTAAGATCTGATAGATCCAGCCGGTCCCATGGGCCCAGCTTCTGTGATAAAGCTGGTCACAGACGCCCTCACGAAGACCCTCACCCCTAGTGACCCAGGCTGTCAGAGCAGCTGCCTATGATCTTTCCTATTTCCTAAGAAATGCCACTCTCTGGGATTCTTGAAGGATCTCCCACACTGACATACCTGATCCCAGGATCCTAACCACTGGTTAATTTTGAGACTAACAAATGATGGTGTCCACGTGACGATTCAACATTAAATACAACAATGCCTCAACGTTAAGAGGCCCATCAATTACAAGGCAAGTGTTTTATAAACACAAGTGCTCCCCGGGGAGGCCAAGTGTTTCAGGAGGGTGCACATTAAGATGCAGGTGCCAGGGGGTGCAGTGGTGAGTGCGGCTGCCTTCTGAGAGGCACATGCCTGAGTGCCTGCAGGGCATCGGGGTCTTCCAAATGCCCGGCTCTGTGCCCGAGGGAAAGATTCAAAACACAGCTGTGAAGAGTGAGAAAGAGATGGCAGGTAGCAGTGGGTGTCTTCTGTCCCCTGGGAAGCTGCATTAATTTTACAGCAGGGGTGGCCGTGGCTCCCAGGAACGTGGGAGTGAGGAATGTGATAGTGCCTCAGCTTTGGCACCCACCGACAACTCCAGGCTCATGGAATATCATCAGGGACTTCTTAGGATTTTTTCTCTAGCAAGACCTTCCTGAACATCCTCTTTGTACATGGGAGGTCAGTTAATAAAATACCTGTAAGTAAGGCGATCTGTTCTGAAATTCCTGATTCCCTATTCTGCTTACCTGACACCCATCTCTCTATTTTGCTCTCCCCTCCGGCTCCTTGGCTCATCTTCTCACCTCCTGTAAGCACCCTGATGGCATTAACAGACTCTGCCCCAGCCCCCACCCCACACTGAATAGACACCATTTCACCTGAAAGACTCTGCCCCACAGTGTGTGTATATCCCCAGTGGAGGTGGGAGCTTGGGGTTCAGTGGCTGTGGTGGGACACAAAGAGCAGACAACAGGAAGACTGGGGCACCATGAAGCACTCCATGCACTTGGGGTACATGGAGCCCCAAGCACCATGGTCCTAAATGCAGAGTTTTATGATGATGACACCTCATCTCCTCACTTGACCTTGCAAGGTCCTGGCTCAGGCTGGCCCTGGCCTCCTCTTACCTCATCTGCAGGTCTCCGGTGCAGGCAGTGGGGGTTGAACTTATTGACATGCAGCACATGAATGGCACATTTGATGCTGAGATGATGTAGCTGACTGGTGACTTTTAAGAAGAGTAGATCATTCTGGAAGAACAAAGATTTGCCTCATGAACCAGCTCCCAAAGTAACAAAACCAAACAAGAACACCCTGAGGTTCCTTCCCAGACCAAACTGGAGTCCACCACATCTCAGGAAGATGCATGTGAGCGCTCCAGCAGCTTTTCTCAGAACAGTGGCTCATGCTCTGTTTTCTGGGATTTCTAGGTGACAAGTAATACCTTAAGACCTTAAGAATACAAAAGAAGAGGTGGACCCACATTTAAAATAGCCACCATGGTGATACCTGAGCATAGCGCTCAAGGGGTTACTGAGATATTGACAGGGAGGACCCTCACCACAGTTAGGTATTGCAGCATTCGCCCGTCAACTCTGGATTCATGAAACTGGTCTTTATACTGGGGTAAGCCAATGTCATCAAGCCAACCTGCAGAAATAGAAAGGAACAGGTGAGTTAGGGCTCATGAAAATGTGGATGCCCTCCCACCACCCCCCGCCCCAAAGTAGCAAATTATCATTCTTGGGTTCCAGTTGTATTCCCACATGGTTTAGTGACCCATCTGCTTTTTTCAAAGACAGCTGTCTTAGAGACACATTCACAGCTGTCTTAGAAACGTTGTCTCCCCTCAGGAGCTGCCAGAAACAGAACAGCTATGCCTGTCCTTACGCGTCACCCAAATGTGGTCTAACAGTGCAGACTTCTCCTCCTGCTTGGTGTTGATGGCTTTCACTGCTAAAACCAGCTTCTTCCTGTGAAGAGGATGCTTAATTCCCAGCTCCTGAAATGGAAAGGTGAAGACTGGAGTGAAGTTCCCACAGGCAAGGCAGGCCGTCGGAGGATGTGTCCGGGTGGAAAGTGGCAACTTTGGGCCACCCTGCTGTGTGTGGGTGTGGGTTCCTATGTACTGGCTACTCATGAGCAACTGTGACCTATTTGCTATCCACAAATTGCAGCAGAACATTCCTTGACTACCTGGGGAGTATAGCTTGTATCACGAGGCAGGCTTGGGGACATCTAGGCTGCTCTTTACGTGACTATCTCATTATGTGACTATCTCCATGGGGGCTCTCAGGATAACTGCCATTGATAACGTCATACACATGGTCACGATGTCCCCTTCCCTGTCCCGTTCCTATCCTACCCTCTGGATCCTATTCCTTGTGCCACTGTCACATGATCAGCCTATATGATTTCAATCAATGGCACAAGAACTTCTGCTCCAGGAGCAGAGCTTCGCCTTGCAAACCTGCTCCACGATGGCTGCATCCCTCATTGTGTTCCTGCTGCAGAGCACAAAAAGTTTCCGTCCCAACAGGTGTGTGTGTGAGCTGGGGTGGGGGAGATGCAGGAGTGAGCAAGCCTGGCCTTGATTTGCAGACAAATGAGAACCTGACCCAGGGCTGGGTCCTTACCTTCTCCATATCCTGAGGCGTAGCTGACAGCAAAGTGTGGCCCGAAGTCACCCACTGCCGGGCGAAGATCACGTACTGAGCCAGACCAAAGTCCTCCAGCCACGTGCACACGCGCTCCGTGCTCCACTGGGCGAAGGGGGCATTGGCGTCACTGGAAGCAGGGAGACAGCAAGTCACTCAGTGGAGAGTCTGGGCACCATGTGACCACAGGGCCTCGTACAAAAGGGACTTGTTTAGTGCACACCTCAAGTCATGGGGTCTTGTCCTACTCTAACACACTCTCTTGGGGTAGATGCTAGTTTCCTGTGATAAGTCCTGGGCTAAATTTCCGATCTGTACTACGAGAGCCTGGGCAGTTAGGAGGTCTCCACGTGCTTCTACATGAGCTCCTGGCCCACGCAAATGTGTCCCAACCCAGGGCCCGGGAGGATGCAGATCCACAGAATAGTCAGGCTTGCAAAAGGATTCAACAGTGTTTTTAGGAAAACCCTCAGATGGCCAGGACAAGGGGGTCAACTGTCTAACATGGAACAACAACAACAACAAAACACCAAAACCCCAAATCTCTATGCAACAACAGCAAATACCTTACTGACTAATGAAACACGAGGGACACTCATGTTATAGTCAGTATTTTGTCAGTACTTGAGAGTAGAGTTACAGCCGGTAGAAGATGAGAGGAAACAAAAATAAGTATCACTGTTACAAAGATAGAAATAAATAAAAGCCATTCTTTTGAGATGATATGACTGCCCATCTAGAAGACCCAAGAGAATGCAGGGAGGTGTCTAGTTACAAATCACACTCACACATGGCTGATAAGACACACAAACAGGTTTCTATAGACCATCAATGCCCAGATGCTAACAATTTGTTCAAGCGACTTAAAAATTCCACTGATGCAACAGGAATTATAAACAGCCTCAGATATGTCTAGAAGGAGTGTGTGGCCCTGTGTAACTGTGTGGGGCAGAGGGGAGGGCATAGGGAGGTGATAACTACAACACTCACCTACACCACATAAAAGAAGACATGAATAAATCAAGAGCTAGATCATGTTCCCAGACAGGATGACTGGGTATTACAAAGCTATCAATTCTTAAGGACATCAATTTTTCATTTAAAGTGTGAATGTAATGGCACAGTCAAAATCCCAACAGAGTCGCTGTGATGGGGTGAAAGTTGACAAGGCAACTTTATATTCATTTTTTTTAAATAAATGGGGATTTATGAAATATGGACAAATTCTTCCAGGAAAGTACCTTAACATAATGGTCAAAAATATTTCTTTTTTTTTTTTTGGAAGCCTGGCTGAGTCGTTCTTAAAGTGAAGAATTCCTTAAAGGGTTGAAACAACACAAAAGCACCATTCTAGAATAAGTTTTGGAGAGTCGTAGAGTCACTCAACACTGCCCACGGTCGCCTGAGTCTGGTTGTAGTAATAATGAGTTGGTGCAGATCCAGGTTTTATGAGTGTTGGAACTTGTAAAATTGTGGGAACTCTCTTTAAATACAAAGTAGTTTAAATCTGGAATTACCAAGGTGACTATTTAGAATGAGGAACTAAAAACATAATTTAATCAAATTTAAAGAAAACCCTCAAAACCCTGGCAATTCTATTAATTCTGACACATCACTGTAGTGTCTTTTAACCATACTACATGCAGTCTCTGATTGCTACGTCAACAACCCAATGCTTTTGGTGAGAACAGAAGGCTGATTCAATCTTCTAGCATGACTGATCAGTATTTCTTTTATTAGGATAACTTTTTTTAAAAGATTTATTTATTTGTGCATACAGAACTGGGGTACAGTCAGAGGCTCAGGGGTGGCGAGAGGCCTCACCAGAGACAGAGTGGGGAGCAGAACAGGCAGATGGACGAAGTACACTGCTGAGGGGAGCAGCGGGCGGGTCAAGAGAGGTCTGCCACGCCATGCGGTCACCTCCAGGGCAGGCGGGAATCGAACTCGTGCAGAAGTGGCTTTAACTTCTTAGTGCTATGCTTTAACCCGCTGCGCCACCAGGGTGGGCCTATTAGGATAACTTTTTAAAGTTTCAGCTTCACAACTTAGTATTGTCAAGAACACTTTCAGTGTTGTTAAAGTTAGGAAAAACCTCTATCAAGTGTCTTCTAGGTGCATGCTGTAAAATAACATAGCATTTGAAATATCTAGCGTTCTGGCTAATCTTACAAATCCTTCCAGCTGACAACAATTACTTGATGTCCTCTGGCTGTTGCATATTGTGAATTTCATGTTCTCTCTGCTGATGTCAGCCTGTCATGGAAGGTCAGCAAGAAAGTTTAACCTTTTCCCAGTGTGTTCATATGACTCAGTTTATATGAGTGACAATCTAGAAGACTAGTCACTATTTTTCTTCAGAATTTATCTTAGTCAATTATTGCTTTTAGTATGATTTGGAATCTTTCTGTTGATATGTTTTTTCTTAATGTCAGGATGTTTTCTCTTCTTTCATTTCACATTCTTTTTTATTGTGTATATTTTCTGGTTTCTGGAAATTGGCGAAAAGAAAAACATTGTCAATCAGAGGTATATTGCTGTTTTAGAGGGAAATGGTGTTTTTTAAGATCTTAATTTGCAAACCTCTCTCCTAGACCTTGCCACACACCCTGGAGTTCTGGTGCTTACCTTCACGAGTTTCCCACCCACGGTGGCCAACAGCCCTCCCACCCCTCAGCCCCTGCTGGTCACACAGCAGCAGACCCAGCTGTCCACCTGTGCAGGTTCCCTCTTGCCAGTCTCCCACGCGCTCATGCCAAGCCATTACTGAACACACTGAGTGTAATTTAGAGATGACAGAGAAGGCCCTTTTCATCTACAGCCACGCTGCGTGTCTTACGGACATACAAGTGTCACCTTGGCGTGTGGGGCAGCAGTCAGTGGAGTCCTGTGGGCTTCGGAGAAGCTGTCATCAATACTTCAACTACCCCGAAGGAAGAAAGATCACCTCGGCATAGGGCCACCTGCAGAAGTAGCCTTCTTGGGGGAGAAGCCCATCTGCCTAGCAGACACCTAGCTGCAGGGCATCTGATGGTCACCTAAGGCCCTCCTGCGCTCCTGACACCCTATGCTGTTCACTAGCTGACCAACAAAAACCTCAGTCTGTCCTGTTTACCTGGAAATGACAGTCAAGGAAATTCTCCACCTGTCATGCAAGTTGGGGATATTTTTCTCTACTACTAATCTATCTGATGTTCATTTGTATAAGCAGCTGAAGAATCCAGATGGGGTAAGGGATTCTTTCCTCTACCTTACATTCTGAAATATGCGTCTCACATACATTAAATGGATAAAACTGAGATGTATCAAATGCACCACTCCCTAGTGCAGGAACATTTGTAATTGTACACACTCCATTAGGAATTTGCAGATTTGATGACTGGGAACAATTTCCATCAATAAGCTTCTGGTTTTGTGCTTTGAAACTGTTCCTTCTTTTCCACCATCCATTAACCATGAAGGCTATACCTAAATATCTATAAATTATAAACTCTGCAGAACACTAGCATATAATTATATCAAATTCCTGATTTTTTTAAAGGATTTATTTATTTATGCATACTGAATTGGGGTACAACCGAGAGGTGCAGGGATGGTGAGAGGATTCACCAGAGACAGAGTGGGGAGCAGAACAGGCAGATGGACAAAGTCTAATGCTGAGGGGAGCAGCAGGTGGGCTAGGGGAGGTCTGCTGCACCATGTGGGTCACCTCCGGGGCCTGAGATCGAACTCACACTGAAGTGGCTGTGGCTAGCCTGTAGTGCTGTGCTTTAACCTGCTGCGCCACCAGGGAGGGCCTCAAATTCCTGCTTTGAAGTAAAAAAGGCCAGGCAGCAGTCCTCTGCCCATCTGTGCCCATGCAGGTGCTTCTTTCCACCAACTTTCTCACCTGCAGGGCAGCAACCTCAGCCTGCAAGTGACCTGTACCCCGCTGGGGCTTCAGACCTCCTCAGTAGAGGCCACTCTCCTCGAAAGGGAAGCCATTTCCTGCACATGGCACAGAGGCGTGACAATTACAAGGGGATGAAATTTAAGAGTAAACTTCACTTTTCATGGTTTGGTTATATTTGACATGACACAGTCAAAAGCTGTGGAAGGTCCCTAGAAGCCTGGTCTTGGCTGAGTTACTCAGTCTTTAGAGACATGTTCTAAGTCTGGTCTGAAAGGAGCGAGGCCGCGGAGGGAAGATGCCCTAGAAAGTGGGAGTAGGCTTTTGTCTGAAGGGAGACACTCTTTCCCAGAGCAGAGGAATCTGAAGGAAGGGGGTGGGGTGGGACTAGGGACTGGAGGCTGTTCACCAAGATAATTTATTTTGGGTGAAACCTGCCACTTGAATTCCTTTGCAACCCTTCCATTACCTCCTGTCAGTAAGGTTTGGTACAATGTGCCATGAGGGTGAGGACAGATATAGCCAGCTCTGCCATCGCCCTTCAGCGAAGTCTGTTGAGGACAGGGAGGCTGGTCCTGGGCAGATGAGGTGATGCACCTTTCCAAGGGTACTGCAGGAGTGACCCCTGAAGGGCTGAACAGCTGACATGCAGGAGTGCTGTGCACTCCATCACGTCAACCTCACAGCTTTACTGAAGTACTTGTTTTGACCATCTACTTCACAAATGAGCAAACAGAAGCACAGAAAGGTTTACGGATATACTTGAGCAGTAATTCCAAATCAGGTCTAAGATTCCAGAATCTGTGCATTTAGTGGCTTTACCTGAGCATCTCAATCCAGTACGCAGAGACACTGCTAGATGTGCATTACAGCTGTGCTGAGGTCTGCAGGGCCTACCTGTCTTTACCTGGGGTACCAATAGGTAGGAACAATGTCTACTCATGTCAAAAACGGAGGCATGAGCTCTCACCTGGGTTTCTCATCTTGCATCTCTGGTGAGCTCTGAGACATGCAGCCGTGGTCCCCACTCCACCCTGGGCAGGATTTCTCACCATTCTCTGTAGATGGACTGGCAAAAGCCTTACCATTTCTGAGCCTTGGGGTCTCTGGTCCTAGAAAGTCTTGGCCCTGCAGTGGCCCGGAGCCCGCCTCGTCGAAACTCTGCTATCCCTGGTGCATCAGTGTTGAAGTTTCCTGACTGAGTTCTTCGGATCCTGTGTGGAGAGGCACCCGTAGACACAATCAGGGTGCAGTCTGCAAGGGTGGACTCAGAACACCTGCTCTTTTGCAGGATCAGCCAGACCCAGGACTCCCAATGACGATGCTTGCAGCTTCCCAGGTCAAACATCATGACCTGTGACAGTTCCTTGGTCAGACCCAAGTCTCAATTCTACTCCTGCCCCTGGGATTTGGGCCACTTCTTCATGGAGGTTAAAGTGAAGGTTGATGCCTGCTAGGGCGCCCTGGTTTCTGTCTCATTTTACAGACTAGGTCACTTGGACCAACTGGTACTCAGCATTCTGTCTTCAGAGGGTTCAGATATAGAATGACCACTACGAATAATCTGCTGTCGCCTCTCTCACTGCATGTGTGAGTGAGGTGCATATGGATGGACCCAGAATGATTGACATGTGGGGCGACTGGCCAGATTTAACTGGTGCCTTTCACAGTTCTTCTTGGACCCTAGAAAATAAGTTAAGAGTCTTCTCTCTAACCATGACCACTTTTTTACTACAGTTCTAGAAGGGAAGTGCAGCTGCTTTACCCAGTGAAGGATATAAATTAATTTTAAGAAGTGTAATTATGGCTCTCTTCATCAACTTACTTTCCCCAAAATTTCTTGATGCCTTTGGGGCTCCGTTTCCCATCTGGTGTCAGGGGAGACTGGGGACCTGACTCAGTGCCAGATGACGTGGATGAGAAGTCGTTGCCCACAGGGCTGTCGTCCCAACCACTCTCGGTGTCTCCTGAAAGAGTTAAGTGATGTGTGTATGAGAGGAAGGGACATAACCTTTGGAAGTTTCCTCCAGACCAGGGCCACCCTTCAGTGGGAGTCAGAAGAGTCTGCCCAGCTCTGCCTTCAGGGCAGAAAATCGTAACAAGATCTGAGGCTCAAGGGGGCTAGGCACACTCCAGGTTTTCTCTCTGTGGAGCTGTGAGCTTCATGAGCTAAGACGTTAGCTAATTCTAAGGGGCTGAGGTTGAAGTACTTTCAGGATAACTCCAACAAAATGCTTGCTGCTTTTCCCATGGGAGATTCAGGAATGTAGGCAGGAGGGGACCTGGATATTGTCCGGTTTGGGAAGGGGCACACTAGGCAAGGAAAGGGAGGGGAAACAAGGGCATTCTCATGCTCCACCTCACCTGGAAGGATACAGTACCTAATACGGGGGCACTGACACTCCTGCCACGATCTCCAGCCAGCCAAGAAGCAGAGAAGCCACATGAAGAAGCAAGAGAGGCCAAAGTCCAGCCCAACAGAGTTATAGGAAAGCAGAGAAATAAACAAGAGTCATCGAGCTAGAGAGAAAAAACTCAAACAGAAAGAAAAATAATTGCACGAGAAAGGATGCATGGGGTGAATGGTAACCGAGCCATTCCCAGTAAGGAGGTCCCAGGTGATGACCCAAATGCTCCTGGTGCCAGCCCTGGGCAGGCAGTGGTACCTGCATACAGGGAGAAGGAGGGAAGGCCCAAGGGGCTGCACACAGCAGGTCACGTGCTCTTGTGTGGTGCTAGGGTGCACAGCAAGTCCCTGGGCGTCGTTAGGGCAAACTCATTTAAGCACTTGTCTGGGGCTGGCCAAAGACAGAAGCCATGCATGGGATGGCTTGGGGGTACTCGGGGGTGAGGAATCAGGGGTGAGGCCTGTCAGGGCTGTGACATTTCCTGCAGGACCCCATTGGTCTCTCACCGCTGTTGGGGAGAGAGGACCTATGGTGCAGTAAATGCAGCGAAGAGCTCCGTGATCTTACACCTGAAGTGCCAGCAGCTTAATTCTGGATGGACAGCCTCACCCACTGGCCACTGAATCCATTTCTCTAAGGAAATGCTCTCCCTTGGGGAAGTTTCCATAGTATCATCCTACTGCTACCAGGGAAGCAGCGGAGAGAAAGGCAGCGTTGGGTGAGAAGGTCAGAATGGCAGGGGAAGGAAGAGTGGAGTGTGCTATCCCAGAGGGAGGGTAAGAGGTTGCGGGGAGGGTCAGGGGCTCAAGAAAAAGGAAATGGAAGGGGATGTGGGGAAGGGGTAACTGCAGTTAGCAAGGAGGGAAGACACCAGTCCTGGTTTTCTGAGGTTCTGAAGTGTTTGCTAGAGAAGATCGTGCCTAGAAAGAGTCATGGTCTGGAAGCAGGCGGCCCTGAGGCATGGCTGTGCACAAGGCCCCTGCACCTCCCCTTATGGTCTAAACTGCACAATGGCAATAATTGGCAGGGCCTCTGGGCTGTTCCAGAGGGCACAGCCCGGGGGCTTGGACACTCACTCAGTCTCAGCAGGCTGCTCCCTGTGGGATCTGGTGGGGAGGTGGCTGGAGATTTGGCAGCCTCTCCGTTGGGTGTGACTCCTGAAAGCTTTCCAGGCGATGTGGGGTATCTGTGCTCTGCCTGGAGATGACCATCCTATGGGAGGGAGAGGAGAAGAGAAGATGCCAAGTTAGCCTTTGGTATGACTCAAACCCAACTAGGAAACGGTTGGATGCAAGGACCACTCCCTTTTCTCCAAGACCCAATTTTCACTGAGGCTGACTCAAATACACCTTCGCTGAGTTCTTGGAAAGGAAGACACTTGCCTGAGATGACACAATGAAACAAGGGAAGAGTCAAGCCCAAGTCCAGGGCTGGCTCTCAGCAGGAAGTGCTGTGTCCTGCTAGGTAAAGAGGCCTTTGTCATTTGGCCTAGTGCTCGTGGTTCAATGAAGGAATGACGATAATTACCCTTTAAACATGCAAAGTAGAATTCTAACAAAAGTTACACCAATTGCTTCATTATGTGTCTGTAATATGTAGTATATTTATTGTACTTTTAGAAAATATCAGGCTGAGGCGGAATGAGAGGGTGTGCACAATAGGCCAAGCACTACATGCCAGCAGCGTGTCCCTGGTCAGAACTCAGCATCGTTTTCATGAGGTTTAGGCACGTGAAAGGGGCCCTGCTCTGCCCTAATCCAAAGAAACAAGTTGATTAAAAGGGGCAGAAGAATTGCACTTATTTGGGCAAGGAACATAATGGCCCCTAAACCCACAAACCTGATGGAAACCACAGTGGAATGCGTTTGAGTGAGCATAAAAGAGAAGAAAAAAATTGAAGCAACATTTCCAAGAGAATCAACTGTGGATTACTTGATTGGATCCAGAAGGAAAGTAATGTGAAAGACAAAACTGATTTCATAACTGACACGTCGGAAAAGTAGTGGGAGACTTTAGTGACGGAGACATCTTTAGAAGTTTTGTTTAGTTAAAAGCTAAGTGCCCAGTAAATTTCTGAATTCAGTTTGCTATAAATACATGTCCTAGAAATGGAAATCCAATGCTAATGCCCTAGAAAGAAGCTGAGAAAAGAGAAATATAGAAAAAGTAGATTGAATTCTCAAGGAATTCTGAAAGAACTGGCTGCTGAGGTAGAAATAAGCAGAACCATTAGGATGGAGACGCCTGGTTTTCACATTTCTGATGGTCCATGAGGTAGGCCAGGCATGCACGATCCAACATGTGGTCAAAGAACAGCAATTTCCAAATGCCAGACCATGCCCCGCTGCTAACAACCTAAAGTACTTGCAAAGGCCACAAACGCCAAGCTTCTACCTGGTTGCATGAATCAACCCCTGTAGCAATGTACTCCAAGACTCTGAGTTTTAACCAAGCATCTCAGATGACTCCAGTGCACAGTCAGCCCCAGTAACCACTGATTGTGGGGTAGGTAGGGCCTAAAACTTGTGAGAACTACAAGACATGACTCTTTTTTACAGGGAATGTGTGTATGGAAAAGACTCTCAAAAACAGACTTCCCCTGGCCTCATGAGACAGGTCCCTGCCCCCATGACAGGGCAGAGATGATCAATACTGTCAATGTGCGTTGTCCTGCAATTGCTAGAGGAGCTGACGTGGACAGCATGTGTCTAACCCAAGGACAGTCTTCCAAAGGTGGCCCAGACTTGCCAGAAAGATGGTAACAGGCACCCCGGGCCATGGAAAGGGTTCTCAGTCTTTGCCAAAAAAAAAAAAAAAATTGGACAGGAAGACTGGCTGCTGGAGAAGGTCAGACAACATCAGGATACAGCACGGAGGGAAAAAATGCTTGAATTCGGTCCTGCTTCTGCTTTTTGCACCAAGAGCAATCCCGCTTGTGGGGGAATGAAATCCCAAACAAGGAGCAGCATACACTCCCCACTTCAAAAGTAGAGTGTTCCTATTCAGTTTGAGGTAGTAAGCATCTGGGGGGAGTGGGAATGCTACTGGCATTAATTTATATGGAAATTCTTTTGCACATTCCCAGACCCCCAAAAGATCACCTACCACATGATGCCAAATGAGTATGTCCTCCTTTTGGAAAGCAGGGCAGGCCTGGGACTGATTATCCGGCTGCTCTTTATTAGCACAGAGACATGAGGCACCAGAGCGACCAGAGGCCAAGCTTTCTATCAGATGAATGCAAGCAGAATCTTTTCTCTGTCACCTCTCAGAACTTGTGTTTTGTTATTCATTAGGGAGCAACAATTCCTGCCATAGGCCTAGCACACAGAGGCAGTGTGCGTGGGCGTGGAGTGACGGCCATAAAAGCATTGACCGTGTCCAGTTCAACTGGGGCACCGAGTGCACCTGTCTAGAACACCAGGCTCCAGGGCATGGCATAGGGGGCACTGGCAAAATATTGCTGGGACTGAGGAGAATGAAGGGGAACTGTAAAGGTTTGTGATCTGTGCACCTGAAAAGAGGGTGCATCACTCAGAGAGGGCAAGATGGTGCATCACTCAGAGAGGGTCAGAAGGGCCATCGGGAGCAGAGAAGACTGACCGTGACTGGGGCTCCATTGGAGAGCCAGGGTGAAGAGACGCATGTTCTGGAGGTGCCCAGATGCATGTTCTGGAGGTGCCCAGAAGATGTGCATGACACAGCCAGAAAGGATTAGAGAGACTGTCTTGGAATGCAGTGAACTTGCCATTACAGCAAGTGAGGGACAGGTAGCGATGCCCAGCAAGGCACCCAGCCCCCGTGGAATGAGAGTGGCAGTGTTTGTGTAAGGGAAGGTGGTTGTACTGGACTACCTGATCTGGCACAGGACTGTGACCATGGTCAAAGCCAGGCAAGAGTTACTCTTTTAAGCTGGAAAATGTTTTCTTCATCAACAGGCTCAGGTTGCTCATAGTTCCTGGCAATCAAATCACAGTCTTAAAGCAGGAGCTGGGGACCTGGCTGGGCTTCCAAAGGAGCAGATGGTCTTTTGCAGATGTGCTCCCAAAACATCTGCGAATGAGCACTGTGAGGCTGAGGTCAGAGGGAGAAGGGCAGGTACTAAAGAAGTGGTACCCGAAGCAAACCAGTCAATTTCCAAGAGACTTCAAGGAGCTGTGTGTCCAGAGCAGCTAGACAGCGGGCAGAAGACTGAGCTCTCGGGTGGCCAGGAAGGGCCACCCCACAGAAGCAGCAACTGCTGCAGAGACGCAAGTGCAGAGAAGCTCCCTGTAAATGTGCAGAGATCCCGAAAGGCTCTTCCTTTGGGAGACTGACATGAAAATGTAAATGACCCTTACAGGCAAAAGTTAGCATGCAATAAGGCCCCATGGATAAATGTACATGACTCTCCTTTTAGCCAGGACTTGTCACCACAGGAAGGATGGGAGCTCTCATGCTGCTCTAGCTGCATGCAGAGGTCCCAGCATCCCACTTTCCAGTGGCCAAATCTACACTGCCTGGTTAAAGACAAATTTCTCAACTACAAATAGAGGAGGCAGTAACCGATCCCGTCCCACAGATAATGGAGACGAAAGCATATTGTAAAGAAAAGGGAGAAGTTTGTCGTCTTCTCCCTCTAACCCCTTGCAATGAACATAGTTTCAGATTATAAAATCTGTAGCTTGTTAAATGAAAACACCGAACAAACCGTGCAGCCACACACAGGTGACAGTGGCATGCAGTCAATGTACCTTGGTTTCTACCACCGGGGAGAGCGGGATCCCATCACTGCACTATGGGATGGCAAAGAGGAGCCCAATAAAGTGGAGAAACAGAGATCTGTGTTAACCTCAAGTAAACACCTTAGGGACACTTGCCTGCTTAGAGACTAACCCCCACCCTCACCATCTGTGAAAAGAAAAGCCCTCCCACTGTCTTTGTGTCCAGCCTCAAGGACAGATGACCGGACAGCTGTGAGCAATCTGACCAGTGGTGCAAGGTGCATGCCCACAGAAGCCAAAGCCACAGAATGGCCCATGTCTCCCACCAGCTCTAGCCTTCGTGGTTTTCCATTGTATCCCCAGGGAGTTTGGCACATGCTGGGGACCGTGGGATGAAGTGTGTACGCAGCAGGGCTCAGTGAAGGTTCTCAGTAAGGGCAAGATGACCACTTGGCCTCTAATGCCCTGGCACAACTGCTGCAGCCCTCCTCTGTAACAGAGGAGTGGCCACCATGGTCAAAGTCTACCTCAGGAAAGGGTCCGAAGCTCTCCTCGCATCTTTCCAGATGCTTAAAAAGACGTTTCCTCTCCAATCTTCTAAGTTATTAGCACCTCATTCCTGGGATCATCTCTTTTCTCCTCATTCTTCCTCAAACAGCTTCTCTGCAAAGCTTACATTGCCCTGCAGAAGCAGGGCCAGGACTCAAGATCTTCTGGGCTTGGTCAGACCTGTGGCTCTGCTCTAATCTCCTCGTGCTCCCCCATCTCCCACATGAGCCACTCTGATGTCTGGTCCCGGCAACTCCAGGCAGCATTCCAGGGACGCCCAGGCCACACCTGACTACTCCTACAATGTGTGTGTAGTTCCTGTCTTGCCAACAACTCTACAAAAGCCTCTACCAGATGAGGACCAGGACTTCCTTGGTCTCACATTCTAGCACTAAGCTGGGCACATAGAAGTAGCTCAGTGATCTTTATGGATAGATTGACACGCTGACCTTATCCACAGAGTCACTTCTCAAGTCTTCTAGACTACAGGAGAGCTTTTTCTGAACCCTGCAAAAACACAAAAGAATAAACAAAAGAAAAATAGTTACTAGAGAAGAAGATAACATGGATACACGGTGTAGTTCATGCTGAGAACTTTTCAAATGTTTAAGCAGTAATCTGTCTTGGGTTGAGGGTCTAGGTCAAGAAAAATACAAACAAACAAACAAACAAAAACTACCTTTCAGCATAACTATTACCTATAAGACTGGCCCACATTGGCAGATATGCTGGCCTGACAATATTTTGGTTAAATCCAGATCAAAAGTCCTTGATTTTCCTAGGAAAATTAGAATATCCTCAAGTCTACTGCTTTAGCAGTTGCTGACTATTGTGTGATCATAAAAGAAGACCAATGTCTGTGGTTAAGAGAGGAAAGGTGCCGATTCTTTGTCTGTGGAGGGAGGAGAAAGCAGTGCCCCCTCAGAGTGGACAGGAGCACACCAGCCAGCCACAGCTCCAGGGATCCCCTGCTGGGACCTTCTCACACTGGGCTCAAGCCCTGCACATGCTGACCAGTCTGTGCAGAGCAATTTGCTTTCTCAGGGTCTGTCTTGCAGAGAATGGCACCAATTGGATAGAGAACTTTATCAGCAGTCACAGAGACTACCTGGTGACAGGTCTTAGCAGTGCTATTTCTCAGCTTATATGCCCAACTCAGCATTTTTCATTAGTCTCCTGTGAGTCTGGTCAATGTGAGTCACTCAGTATTGTCTTCCTCCTGAGTGAACTCAGAAATCCAGTTTCTCATTCTGCGAAAGTAAAGGCTAGCCAGTCACTTTCTCTGATTCTGCCAATTTTCTCTGGGGTTTGAGACTCAGGTGAACAATGGTTTTCCGGAAAGTGGGGCTGAGTAGTGGAGGCTCTGGAGCCCTGGGGCCTCAGCGCCATGCAGGGGAAGCCATCATGCTATGGCTGTCTCCCCCAGATATGCAGGCTGACGACTTGCTCTAGGCAGTGAAGCCCCCACATCTCTATGACATGGGGCACAATTTGAAATGTATTCTAAAGAGCTGATATAGGGCACTAGAAATAAGTCAGCCTGCACCCTGGGGCCATTGCCTTTCTGAGCTGGTTTCTTCAGCCTTTCCTTTCACTCCAGGAGCCACACATTCCAACAGTCATTTTAAAGGTGACTGGACAGATAGCAGTCCAGTGACCCTAGAGCCCATTATAAACTCATTGATATTTGATGTTTTCCCAGAGCAACTGGATCACGTTCACTGGAGGAGAAATAGTCCTTTCTAGACAGCCCAGATGGTCAAAAGCCTGGAAAGATGTTCAGAGGAGCTGACAGAAATGAGCAACACCAGTTTGGAAGGGTTACCAGAGGGCACAGATGAGGTGCAGCCAGCTCCCCTCTGTGTCACCAAAGCCCTGATCTCTTCTCAGAGACCATAAACCAGGCCCTCAGCCTGTGGGCAGGGTGAGGTGAAGAGAGGGGCTGTGGCTGCTCTTTGGCCCCACTGTGGTCACTGCTGAGGCTGGACTGTTGTCCTGTCGATGGAAAGGCAGGAGCGCCCTGGTCACAGTGGCCATGCTAACCAGCCTGGTCAGTTGCCAGCATGTCAGGAGGGGCCCGAGATCACAGCAGATTCAGGGAAATGGCTGGGTCTCCTACCTGGTTTCCAGTGATTTCTGCGGAAGTGGAGGCGGCCCCACCATGGGAGAGCTACATCTTGGAGGCATCTACACCAGAAATATTAGAGTCACTGTAGAGGAAAATTACAATTTGGAGACCACCCCCACCTCTGTTCCCCTTCTTTGCAGGACTCCTCTTAAGAAGATACATTTCTGCCCCTGCATACAGCCATCGTGACTTCACCAGTTCTGGTGCCTTATTTCTTAAGACACCAAGGAGGCAGGCGTATTGAGCAACTTTTGCTTCTCCCACCTGGGTACAGTCCATATCCTAGCAGTAGAGTGCTGAAGTCAGCCTGCAGCCTGGGGCCATTGCCTTTCTGAGCTGGTTTCTTCAGCCTTTCCTTTCATTCCAGGAGCCACACATTCCTTTCCGAAAACATCCTTTTTGGCCTAGGTTTGCCAGAGTCCATACACATTGCTTACAGTGAGCAACACTGCAACTCATATCGTCACAAACATAAACAACTTCTACTTCCCCTAAGCTCAGTGTAAGGTCAGCACTGGCCACATATGGGGAGGAGATAAATTCACTAGGATGAAAGATCACTGTAAAATGTCCCTGTGGTGTTTAAGATGGGGCTCCCTCTCACTAGTGGGGAGCCTTCAGAGAAGAGAACATGTGCGGAACCTTAAGGATTAGCATGGACTTAGCAAGAACAGGAGAAAGGAAAGCACAGAAGCAGGGTAAGCATGAGCTAACAGTGGTGGGCCAGCACGGAATTCAGCACTGCCTTGCTGGCAAGGACCACCTCTGTTCTCGACAGTCCAGGCCCTTTCTGGCCTTCCAAGAAGGATCCCTGACACTGAAGGACAGCTGTTAACAGTTTGGGTGTATGGGTCAAGTGCAGACTCCACCATCTACTCGCTGTATGACCTAAGCAGATTATCCACCATTTTTAAGCTTCAACTTCTTCAGAGTAAAACAGGATTTCATAGGATGTCACGAAGAAAAAACAAGCTGGCCAGGTAACAGTGCTCATCACAGCGACCACAGTCACACAGGGAGTGAGCATGCATCTTCTATTATCGCTGGCAGCCAGGACGGCTTAGTCCAAATTTATAACTGATCACTGGGTGACATTCTGCTCCTCCCTGAATTATGTCTGACCATACTGGAGTTTCACAACCCTTTCTGAACCTAGGCTAAAGCCCCTTCTCTACCTGAGGTGTTTTTCTATGAGCTTGTTTATTTTATTTAGCCTAAGTCCAGAGAGATTTATTTAATAAGACTAAATAAATTAAGTTTTAATAAGGAAATAAAAAATAAATAAGCAAAAGAGAAGAAAAGAAAATTTGTATGCTGGTTGTGGCGGCTGGAGAGGCTGTCTGTGAAATAGGAATGCATCGTTTCAAAACCTGCAGTTACCCTGCCAAATGAGTAAGATTTATTCAACAAATGTTTGTAGAATTCTACCAGGTATCAGGCAGGTTGGCAAAGACTGGAGACACAGTGGTCAATAAAACAAGTAACATGTCAGGTGTGTGCTTACATTCCAGGGGGAAAGACAAAAATAAACAGGGAGCTTGGTTTTTAAAAATTCCTATCCTTTAAAGCCCAGCATTCAGTGTCCCTCCAAGCCAGAACACACACCAGTGATTTAGACCCTTGCCGTCCTTCCCTGGGGTGCTTTCCCAAGGCCCCAAGAGTGATTTAATTTTCCACCTGTCAAGACTTATTGCTGACTAGGTCCTCCCCAAGCTCAGTGTTAAGCTCCTAGGATCTACTAAAACCCACATCGTGGGTGGAAACACAATACCTCTGGTTTAAATAATTCTTCGGGGCCTTTATTTGTAGCATTCCATTTTCTGAAACTTCCTTCCAGTTCTTCGTCATTGATGGAGAGAGTTCTTTCTGAAGGTCCTAGAAGCATTAATGCAGAAGAGATGATCACCACCATGATTTGCTCAGAAACCCACAATTATAACACAAACCCCTAACATGGTTTCTCCTTCATTAAGAAAGAGTAAGAAACAGAATGGACATTGAGAGTGACTTGGAAGCTTCTTCAGAGCATTCCAGTTGAGGCTTTGTGAAGGTCGTCTCAAGGTCAAAGCTCAAGGGAGAAGCCATCCCTTCATATTCCTCTCCAATTTTCTCACTTCTTAATCTCAGGGGATCAGGCCTTAAGAGCAATGTGACTCAAGAACCCAAAGGACCACAATGCACATGTGGGCTGGCACACCCCCGGAGGTTACCAGGCAGTCCCAGCACAAGCGACGGTCAACTTCTTCCCAAGAACAGCCAGAGCAGTCAGAACCAGAGGCTCCTAAGTACCCTTAAAGCTGCTTCCCTGGAGCTTCAGTGGGAGCCAATGTCACTCCTCACTGTGTCCCGAAAGAACAGTAATGCTACTGCGTGTTGAGTTCACTCTGGGCATCATGTATGAAATGCAAACAAATCTCCCTGCTTGTGACTGCCTGTGGGATCGCAGGCATCAGGAGTCTAAAGAAGCCACCCAAGTGCCCTGAGAGTCTGCTGGGGGAGCTTCTGCCTTCTCCAGGAGGTAGACAAGCTCTAGACCCCATGAGGCGCTGGCCTGTCTCCACCAACTGCCTTTCAGAGGTCGCCAAGAAGGTATAAGGGAGATCCTCTGAGGGTAGGGACTCCCAAGGCTCTAGCGGAAACTATTTTCCTGTGATCTGGATAATCCCTAGGACTTCTGAACTAGTGGACATTTGACAAATTTCTAGAACTCAAAAGTTGTCAATTTCTCAGCATCCAGGACAGCCTCACCAGCTCTCTGCCAGCAGAGGCCCATCTAAAATGAAGACAGAAACTCTTCTGGCAGAAATGCCCCTGGATTTCATACAGTAGATGTAATATATCTGTGCAGTAAGGGTAGGACCCCTTTGCTCTTACCTTGAGCTGCCATCACAATCTCCTTTACTCTTCGATACTGGTTTAACAGCCCCGTGAGCTCCTCTATCCGGCGGTCCTGTCAGGGTGTGAGAGCAGACTAGTGTGTAAACACGAGCAGCAGCAGGTGATTCCACTTTGGGGCCCAGGCTACGTTCTGGGCACACTGGGAAAAGATGCCGTGTGGATCTGAAGGTGTGTGAAGACCCCTCCCATAGAGCCTGGCTTCTCAGTGGCTGGCCTCCCAGGCAGTTCAGGCTCCCTTACCTCACACCTGATGGCAATGAGGATACATTCTGGCCACAAAGGAATCCCTGCTTGATAAAAGCCTTCAAGGGACAAAAACATGTCCAGAAACAGAAACTCACTATTTCCTCACTCTAGTGGAATCTCCCTTCTGACCAGAGTGTCATCCTCCAGAATTAGACAAAAGAAGATGGAAACAAAGCTGTCATATTTTATCTTACATGCTCATCTCTTCTTTGGGAGTTTACAGTTCCTTGCATGGCAGAGGAAACATTTAGAAAGTGTGTTTCTTTCCAGGTCACGGCCTAGGGACAGGGATGGGGAGGCCACACAGAAGACGCAGGGCTGTGATGCTCAGAGCTGACGTCTGAGCCGGGAAGGTGCTCTGGAAGTTACAGAGATGGCTGTGTTATGGTTATGAGGGAGTCAGATGTGATGTTCATAAGGAAAAAAAACACACACACGGCTAGCGGCCCTGTGACAGGTCTATGCCAGATCGGGCACTTGGCAGATAGGTGAACAGTCCTCGAGTTCCTGTGGGAGCCGAAGTAGCAGCTATGACATCTGTAGTAACCGCAGTGGGTATTTTCCCTGCATGCATGCACAGGCACAGCTTTAATCATCTTTGGAAGATTCCACTTAGGCAAAGCTCCCACTCAGGCAAAGCCCAAAACAAGTGACTGAGGCCAAGTCGCAAGGAACAAAGGCCATTCTTCTGATACACCCTAAGTCAACGACCTGATGGGAATGCTCTGTCCAGAGTATCAGCGACCAGCAGTGACCAAATGGAGTCAAGGAGGGTAACCAGAAAAGCACAGGGCTGCCAATGCCATCTTACCTTATCTTCATTGGCAACAAGCAAGGTTTCCATCCCCACTTTCAGACGCTGAATTTCTTGGTCTAGAAGAATTTAGGTACAGGAAATTACTACTGTAAAATGCAGACAGTTGTCCTCACATGCTGAGACGATAAAACTTTCCATATGAATGACTTGCATGTGGACTCATTTAAAGAGCCCAAGATGGCATCTGGAAAAAAGTCTGTCTCATAAGTGTTGAGTGGCCTATTAAACAAATGAACCAAGTATTCTGTCTTCTCTGTAGAGATGTATGTGGGGAAAAATCAAAATGCCATTGACTTAAAGATGACACAGAAGAACCCAAAAAACTTTCATAAACAATACTCATAAGACTATTGACATTCATTCTTTATGACTTAAGTGGTCATGTACCTGGGTCAATAACTTGTGTTGGAGAAAATCACAGAGTTGCATAGATTGCAGTAGAGAATAAATGCTTTATATGTTTTTAATATATTTATTTTTCATTTTTCATTTTTGTACAATGTTTGCTTTCCCCCCCCCTCAGGTATAGTCCAATAATTCCAGTCACCAATTCACCCATGCACCATCTCCACAGTCCCTTGTGCTTGTAGCAGAGAATTTAAATTAAGTCTAATGTTGAATAGAACTGGGAAAGAATAATTATGTGAAAACAGTTTGGCACTTGACTTAATATAAAATGGGATAGTCAGAATGGACTAATGCTTAGATGTATTTATAAATATATTAAAATAAACTCTTTGCAAGGAAAACAATCATATTTTATTGTAAAATGACAGCATTTGTCTGTACATTAAGGGACTGTGTTTGTCTATGGTGGGCCACCCATGGTCTTCTCTCACTTTGGACCTCACAGGGACTCTTCCTTGACATCTTCCTAAATTGCACTGGAGCGCCAGGTCATTCTGCCAGATGTTTAGAGGTTTAAAAATGGCACATTGGGGCCCTCCTTGGTGGTGCAGTGGGTTAAGCACAGCACAAAGAAGCTAAAGACACTTCAGCATTATTTCGATTCCCACCCCGGAGGTGACCCACATGGCGTGGCAGACTTCTCCTGGCCTGCTTGCTGCTGCCCTCAGTGGTGTACTTTGTTAATCTGCCTGTTCTGCTCCCCACTCAGTCTCTGGTGAATCCTCTCACTGCCCCTGCACCTCTGGCCTGTACGCCAGTTCTGTATTCATAAATAAAATAAATCTTTAAAAAAAGAATTGGCACATTGTTAGATTTTCCAAACAAGGACCTGCTCCCATTCCCATGCAAAGGGTGATGGGAATAGGGGTGGATATCAAGGAAAAGTATAGGAGATCAGGAAACAGAAGTACAGACATCCCATTTCCTTTTGGGATACCACATCCCAAAAAGAACAGAAAGAGTGGACTTATAGAGTTCTTATATCGGTTGTATGAATTTTCAGAAAAATCTCTCTTTTCTGAAGAGCCTGCTCCACAGCCTTATTTGTTGGGGGAGGACAGTACCCTCCCATGAAGGCTGGCAAACCTCAATGCTTTGGGCAGGACCCAACCAGGACTGCAAAAAGGACCAGTTCCAGGAGGTGCTGACAGATGGAAGAGGGCAAGGCCTGAAGACTCAGACTGTAGGGAGGCCCTGGAGAGCGTTCTGTCCAGCTTTGGTATCACCGGTAGTGATGACCCACCTCCACATTAGGCATGGGGACAACCATATTGGTCATTCATTTCTTTCTCTACTCTAAGTCACTGTTTCATGACTACATGACTTCCCCCGCCCAGTCAAGGATCTAAGCTAAGCAGTACTCAGGCCAAGAGAGACCTCCCAAAATAACTGGTAAGCTACAGTGTGTGCTATAAAGGAAACAAAACATCAACAAAAGTGCTGAGTTGGGGGGGGGAGATAACCAACTTGGTTTTGTCACCTCAGGACTTTTTGTACAAGTATCAGGCAGGTACCTATTAAAGGACTAAATGAATTGCTAAAGCCTCTCTTTTGGTGGTGACACAAAACAAGTCCTTCCATCAAGTGTATGAGTAAAACTTCCAGAGGTGGCTGTGCAGAGCTTCACTCATCAGAATGCATCTGAGAAAAGCCTTCAGAGTGGAGTCTCCTGGATGACCTGGGGCACTGAGTCCACAACAGAGCCGACTTCCCTATTCCCAGCCTGTTCCCAGGCACACACGCACGCACACATCCACTCACTAGGACACAGACACACGCGTGAGTGTGCGGAAATGAACACTAGTCCATCCGAGCGAACGTGTGAACTATGACATGTTCATACTCACTGACAAACGTGCCCGTGTCTGAGCAGGCGCTGCACCGCAGCCCACTGCAGGTCTCACAGCCCAGCCCATTACCTTTTTCCACATGGTCTCCGTGAAGGGCGGAGGTCCGCGAGAGCTGGCTGTGCAGGCGCTCAATTTCTGCATCCTTCAAGGCCACCTGCTCTTGAAGTTGGGCTACCTCAGCCTGGAAGAGAACAGAGAACTCTCACCAGCTCAGACAGCCTATCAGGCCGGACAAAGTGCTTCCGGTCAGAGCCCAGAGCCAATAGATGCTAAGACAAGTAGGAAGTTCGGAACAGAGGAATCGGAAGTGAGCGTAGAGGTGCTCACTGCCCTCCCCACAAGGTGGCGCTCTGCTGAATAAACTCATCCCTGGCCATTCTGGTCTTGCCACAGATCTGGGAATCAAGGATCCCTTTTCCTGCAGTTTCCTACCTGACCAGGCTCTTTCCTTTTCCTCCCCTCTCTGTTTCAAATACCACTGAGGCCTGAAAAGCTGGGATCAGTGCTATGGGAGGGTTACCATCGGTCCAGGCTCGGGTCTTCTCTCTGGCGGTCTTACTTCTCCCAGGTATTTATGCCTACAGCCTGCACATAGGCTATCGCTACAGGTGTATGCATCTTTCATTTTCCCTGCACAGCTGAGACACTGAGTGGAAAACAAATCACTACTGGCAGAGTGCTGGAGCCAAGTTCCCTCCCTCAAACACTCTTCCACCGTTTGTGCTCAGCCACTGCCTCTGCCCAACCTCCAGGCATTCAGGTGCGCTGGGCACACAGACTTTTGAAAATAAAGCATGTTAAGTAGTCGCGCGCGCACACACACACACACACACACACACACACACACACACACACACACACATCCATGTCAATGAGCAGCCCACATCTCTACTGAGAATAGTAGGCTGAATTTCACACAGGCAGTAGGCGTTGGCATCCCTTCCCTTCCCCCCCCTCCCCTGTTCCCATACTTATTAAAAATTCAGATCACAATAGTTCCCATCCTATGAAGCATGTTGATTTTTAGGTCCAACGGATTCCCTTATTTCCTCATTGGGTGACCTTAGGCCGGTGCGTTATCCTTTCTGAAACTTGACTTAGAGCATTATCTCATGGGGCTGTAGGGAGGTTTAACTAAAATAAGTGTTTCTGGTGTGTTGGGTAGTAAGTGCTCATAAATGTTGTCACTCCTGCTGTTCTTGTCTCATTTCTTCTCTTACAAGTAACAAGCTGGTAAATACATATAACAAACAAACAAACAAACATACATACAACCAGCTCAGGTTTTCTGAGCTTCAAACCGGGCTAAGAAAGAGGTTGAGACTTGGTGGGGGAGCCAGGCTGTATCACACACCTCAGCAGCTGCTCCAGTACTACCACCCCATGGGGCAGTCACATAGCGCCTGTGCTCCGTGAGCTGGTGGCTGTGCTGGCCTTCCTCAGAGGCCCAAACTACTCCACGAGAGCAGATGAGCTCTAGCCTGCTGGCTCCTCACCGCACACGCCTTGCGCTTAGTTTCAGGACACAGGAGCACCCAACCTGCACCGGCCCCCCTTCTCGATGCTTCCTCACATCAAACCCCACTTGATCTTCTCCGGAAGCCTTGGCAGGAAGCAGTATCCCTGCCTATGACCGGAGAAGACAGGGGCAGCACAGGATCCTAAGTGCAAGTCCAGAGCCAGCCGGTGACCAGCCCAGGCCTCCACCCACTCCAGCCTGTCGGCTTCCGGGCACTCTTACCAGGCTCGGGCTCCCTGAGCCCACCTGAAATTAATCTGCCCTAACTTCCCCACTTGGGACATGGGACAGAGAAGGCCTGGTAAAGAAAAACAGAGGTGACAAGGAGCAGGGTTCCTTACTCCAAAATTCCGCCCCTAAGGAGCGCAACCCTTTGCTCTAGTTTCCACCCACAACGTGCCAGGTACAGCCCTGCCAAGCTGCCGGCTGGGGCTTGCAGCTGCCCAGCAGCACTCCCTGGCTCACTCAGGCCTCAGTGCCTCAGGCTTAGGATCAGTGGTGATTGGGCCTCTGAGCACCTCAGCCTTAGAACCCTTCATCCAATGCCACTCAACCCTACAGGCTACTTTTGGAAGGTATTTCCTTAAACTTTGCACCTTTTCTTACCCTTTCTCCCTGACATCACCAATAGAGTGAAAGCTGTTCTCTGCTAGGCATCTGGGTGCCTGACGCTCGCCCGCAGGCCCCATGGTGGACAGGAGGGCTGTATGGAGGCAGAGCACGATGCCTGGCATGACAAGAGAGCTTCAGCCGCTAGGCGAGGTCATCTATTTTAAAGACCACAGACCAAGCAGCTGGTCCCAACCTCTTGTGCACCAATTTTTGCAGAATAAGTCAGAAGCACTAGGTATTTTGTCTTCCTGAGAGAGGTGCCTGTTCTCAAAGCAGGAATGTCATCAACAGCCCACAGGCCCCTAATCTGACTCTGAGGATGAAGCTGGCTCACAGCCACTGTGGCCAAGGGTGAGAACTGGGTGTGAGAGGCCTGAAATATGCACACCAGCCTGGCACCGGGCAGAGAAAGATAAGCAGTCTGGCTCCATGCAAGTGCCAGGCTCGTCAAACCCAGGACCACGCCCCTTGGCTGCCACACTTGAAGGTGAATTACCTTTAGAGAAAGAGAGACTTTAAGCAGGAGACTGAAGAACTATCAAAATCAGTGTGGGCTTTTACTGCAGGGAATCAGGATGGCAGAAGGAAAAGGGCATGAGGCTTACAATGGCCCAGACCCAGATCTGAACCTCCCTCCTTGACGGCTCTGAGCCTCCACTTCCTCACCAGTTAAGAGAGGATAAGTCAAACCTCACTAGGTTATTTTGCAAATAGAAAATGTGGGCAAAGGCCTTGGCACATGCTGGCACTGAGAGGCACTCCCCACCTGGTGGTTATTAAATAACCCTCAGTATCTCAAAGGTCTACATGCCAAGGCAAAGAGCTCAGGCAACTTAAAAAGACAGGGGTTGTTTCATTTTATAGGAGGAGATGTTATGCACAACTTCAAAGGTTTCACCAGGATGGGGCTAGCTTGAGCAGAGCACCTTTATGCACAGGCATGACACCCAGGAGGCTGTGCTAGAGCAAAGCAGAACAGTCCACAGAGCCATCAGGAGCACCTAGCGTGGGTGCTGGTAAGCTATGAGGTCTTGGGAAATTTACTTGACCATTCTGTACCACATTTGTGAACATGGCTGAGGAAATTATCTGACATTTATACAATAGAATATTGTATAGACATCAACTTCACCTTCATAGTTTTCTACTATTAGCATGACATAAAATTGTATATAAATTATCAACAGCAGATATTGAGAATGAGCGAGGAGAGGAGGCAGAGACTTGAGCCCCTGAAGGAGAAATACCTGGAGGGAAATATTCACAGTGGTAGCTCCAGGGTGGTGTATAAGAGATTTTTTTTTTGTCCTTTCAAGGGATTAAAAAATCCTTGGGAAGAACAATTCCTTTGGGAAAAACAATAAAAAGTAAAAGAAAAAAAAAAAAAACACTTAGGGAAATGTAGTCAGCAGATGGAAAAACAAACTCCTAAGAAGTGAAGGTGAAAACAGCTGTGGGCATCCAGGGCAGCTGCTGGCGCTGGCCTGACTGCACCTCAACGGTCCGAGGGAGGGAAGGAAAAACAAAGGGCGGAGGGGAGAGACCTAGTTCACGAAAGCACTGCTCCTTGTTGACTTCTAAATAAGCTCCCCTGCGCAATAAAAACGTGACTTAACTTTAAAAAATGTTCAAAATATGTATCTTTTTTTAAGGTGTGCCTCCACTTCTGAAAATAAAAGCAGGCCTGTTTTTAACAACAGATTGTGAGAGGGCCCTCTGCATGTCAAGGGCTACGGCCAGTGTGATGCTGGTTTTCATCTGCCTGAGCAGTCCGCTCCCTGTCACTCACTCCCTTACTGGCTCACTCACTCACAGAGCCCCTTCCTAACCAAGCTGGCTCAGTCTGCGGTGCTAAGAAGGGGGAGGACACGTGGTAACACTTCAAGGGTTCATACCCTTGCGGGTTTTCTCCAGGACAAGAGTTCTGACTCGCATCTGTCTGGGGCCGGCTGTGTGCACACCAGAGGGTCAACCTCCAGCTTCTCTTAGCTACAGCAACCCTGTGTTGCCACAGACCCTCCCCCCACTTGGGCTCAGCGCCTCTCTGTAAGCGCCAGGCCCGCCTGTTACCTTAGTGGCCTTCAGCTTCCACTCATACTGGTTCCGTTCATTTTCCAACTCTTCCACCTTGATTTTGAGGTGTCTGAGCTCTTGCAGTAACTCCTGGAGGGACAAGGAATAAAGACAAAGTTCTGATGGTTCGAGAGCAGGACATACCCTGGATCCACAACCTTGGTTAAGTTCATGCACAGGGGTTACCCCAGGTCGGGCTGCCACACCAACCACCACCATGCGGCTCCAACTTTTAAACATGGGCCTCAGTTTCAGGGAAAACGGCACGGCCATTTAAAAATGAAGGCTGGGGAGTGCCAGCTCCTTACAGAGTAGCAGGAAGCAGGCTAGTGGGAGAGTCTGACTGTGCTGGGGCTGCTTAAGAATTCAGAAGGGAAGGTCAGTGATCTGGAAAGCCTCATCCAGAAGTGACAGCAAGCAGGGTAAAAGAAAACACTAAGGAAACAAATGCCAAGGGCCAAGTAGAGGCCAGTCCCCTTCAGAGAGGGGTGTGATTGAGCAAAGGAGGAGGGAGAAGGCGTCCAGGGACAAGGCAGGAATACGAGGCAGCAAGGGAAATAGCCTGTCGGGCTGGAGCGAGGATGGGAGCCTGTGACAGGACACTCAGTAGGGAAGCCCTACCCAGATGGGGTCCCTCTGTAAACAGATGCTGCTGCTCTTTGGACAGTAGGGAGCCATCGAATGTTGTTGAGTAGGGAAGTGATTTAGAAATAACTTGCCCTTGGGGTAGATGGACTTCAGGCCCATATTAGTGCTTTCTAAATTACCCCGTCAATTAAGAAAATAGCACCGAACACCTTGGTTCCAAATCAAGTTGCCCTTAACAGATAAATGGCCCTACTGACCCCTCCTTCCTAGCAGAGAGGTAGCGTAGAGGTAATGTTCCCACAGACCTCCTGGACACCGGACTCACACACGCACAGACTTCACACCTCCTGGTGGCTGGTGCAAAGGGTTGCTGTGACTGGTGGCCCAACTGGAATGCTCAGTCTCCCTCCTAACTCCCCGTCTCACCAGATGGCATCTTCATCCACCTACTTGTCTGTGGCAGAAACCTGGGATCTGCCCCTAGCAGCTCCTCCCCTTTGCCCTGCATAATAGGTACCCCAGGCCTTATTAATTCTACCTCCAGGAAAGTAACTTGAAGCTCTCTTTTCTTTCTAACTACTACTGCTACCAGGGTCTAGAGCTTAGTGTTGACAGCATGGGCAATCTCAACAAGAGGAACTCCTCAACCCCCTCATTCTCGGGGTCTCCTATCCAAATCTGGACATAGATTAATGAATGTCTTTTTCCCCTTATCCTTAAAGGAAAGGATTTCCTTCTTTCCCCCACCCCCGACCCACCTGAGCACCTATGTCTAGGAAAGACTTCTGTGTGTCCTTAACTGAGTATGGATTGTGGTAACTTTCACAGAGCTCAGGCAGATTCTCTGTAATGCTCATGGTCATAGCACCTTGACCTTCCCATGGGCTGTTAAGTCCTCTCCAGCTGTGGACCTGGAGAGACAGGCTCATCTCTGTGCAGCTGCCATCATTAGGACTCAGCAAGTCCCAAAGGACTTGGTCAAAGCAGCATGAGGGGTCACGTCCAGAACCCCAGTCAGATCTGCCCCACAGGGTGCAGCAGCCATGGAAGCCCTCCAAAGTGATGACCTAGGGGATTTCTTCCCCTGGTAAGTCAGTGATGTGACTTACTTGTTCATAGCAAATGGAAACGTGTTCTATTGTCTCACTAAAGATAGACCTCTTTAAAAATAAAGTTGAAAGGATTCTTTCATGCTATTTTTTTTTCCTTAAAAAAATTATATGAGATGAAACTTTGCTTACCTCCCAGCCCAAGTCAGGGAAACATACCTGAATCACAACAGGTAAGGAGAATCCCAAGTCTTCCTATGCACAAATGCCCATTCACTCAAGGCACTTAACATATTTCATGCCAAGCCGAGCCATAGCCCTTAAGTGAGGTGAGTGCCCCCTCCTCTGTGGGAAGGTTGATCTCACCTGCTAAGTCCCTGCTCGCATCCCAAGAGGGCATCATAGAGCTCAGTTCATGTCCTGAGCAAAGTGAGGGAGTCCCAAGCCCTTCCCAGAGGCAACAACAGATCCATGTTAAGCCACAGCACTCTGGTCTGGTTAGGAGAAAGCCCAGCCCCTCCAGCAGGGGGCCCCCCACCCCCCGCCACACACACACACACACACATGCTTTAATATACTTAAGTGTGCTTCCTACAGGAGACCCCTCCCAACAGGCACAATCCTGGGTGCAGGGCTGGGGCTCAGCCGCACCGTCACTGGCCACCACTTCCTCAGGGTGGTCCCTACTGAGTAAGAGGCGCTCTTGAATCTGCCTGTGGATGTCCAGCTGCAGCCTACACATCTGCTCCTGCAGCTCACTGATCACATTCAGAACCGACTGTGGAAAGGAAGAGAAAGGAAAAACAGCACTCAGGGTCAGTCAGCTCTCAGACACAGGACTCTCTGGAGAGCCAGAATGGAGGAAGGTAGCCAGCAGAGGGGGAGTGCAGGTGGCCGCCAGTGGTCACTTGCCATGACCATTCCTTTCTCCTTCCTGCACAGCAGCTGCAGCACATGGCATTTCCCCCGAGGGCTGCCGTTCACACTCTCGCAGTTGAAGCAAACCCCAGCAGCAGCTGTGTGCACCCTGGAGGGCCATCCTTGCACGTCAACATCTGAGGCACAGAATCTAGCAACACCAGAGACGAATGCACAGATGGACACCCTGTATGTGTGTGGCCAGGCTCCCCGTGCCCCAACACGCCAGCCCCAGTGCACAGGTGACACACGGCTCACCCCTCGCTTACACCTGCTTGTCTGTGCCCAGCCCTAAACCTCCCCTCACACCCTGTACCAAACTCTACTTCCACACTTCAACCCTGACTCCCCTGTAGCCTCCCATCAATCCAACTCAGTTCTTGGACTTCACACCTTCTCAGTTCTGAGTCCCTTTCAGTCCCAGTCTATCTGACTCTCCTTGACCTAGTCCACAGGCACTGAGTGTCACTCTGCAGAGATCTGAACCACAGGGCGCCATTGTGCTTGCAGGTGAGTGGGGAGAGAGGCAGGAAATGAATTATGTGGAGGCACTTTTTTTATTGTTTATTATTATAATAGTTTATTTTTACATCATTTTGTGCCTTTTCCCATCTCTGTTGTAATCCCCATGGACTTCCCATCACCAATTCATCCATGAGAGGCACTTTTTTTTTTTTTTTCTTTTAACATCAAATTCTCTAAGCATCTGCATGGCAAAAGGAAGGACGGCAGGTTAATCAAGGTTGGGTCAAACTGTTCCCCAAGGTAACAATCAGCGTTCATCCCGCAGAGGGAGACTGAGCTTGTTCTGGGCATCTAGACCATGAGAAGCAGGAAGATGGACATTACCTCCAGGCTCAGAGGCCTGAGGCAACTCACTCTCACTGTTTTCCATGTGACTTCCCGTGACTTGTGAAACTTCCCCAAACTTCGTTTATAGTCTGTAATGACAGTCTCGCTACCTTGTGGGGCTGCGGGTGAATTAAACCCAGGCAGGCTCAGGGAATACCCCCGCACAGTGTCTGTACCGTGGAACGCATTGGACAAAGGTGAGCTCCCTTCTCCTTCTTCTCTACATCTTTTACCATCAAGGAATGATTAAAACGAATAAGAGAAATGGGACGCATACAGAAAACACCTTCAGGTAATGGGACACAGATAGGAACATGGAGACATCGAAAGGCCCATGGGCCCTCATAACTCGCCTGCTGAGCCCCGTCTCCACGCCATGGGCTCTCCCTGTCTCCAGAGCCACGAAATAAACCTTTATTTCCCTCCACTGCCTTCCTCCTTCTCTTGTTCCTCCATCCCTGCACCTCCCAAAGGAGGAGTCTAAACCGCTGTATCTGATTTGCACCTCAGCCCCTGGAAGTTCTAATGTTGAAGCAAAGGGAGAAAACAGTCATGAAGTAAGAGTCACAGACACCTTGAGAGGTCTTACTGAGAGGTCCCAGGAAGACCAGCTGCATCTCCCCCATCCAAGCAGCATGTCTCTCCCTCAGCAGCGCCTCCTGATCAAATCCACCAGCATGAGCTCTGCCCTCAAACCGCTTGCTCCTTCTTGTGGGGTTTCATTCTTACCTTCAGGGGCTTTGTATGACTCAGAGCCTTGGCCTCTCCATTATTCTACTTCACTCCAGGTTTCTGTGAACCTTAATGTTAAATGACCCAAGTAGTTTTTCTTTCTTTCTTTCCTTCTTTTTTAAGATTTATTTATGCATACAGAACTGGGGTATAGGCCAAAGGTAAAGGCAAGAGGATTTACCAGAGACAGAGTGGGGAGAAGAACAGGCAGATCAATGAAATACACTGTTGAGGGAACAGCAGGAGAGACAGGAGAGGTCTGCCGCACCATGTGGGTCACCTCCAGGGCAGGGGATGGAACTCATGCTGAAGCAGCTGTGGCTAGCTTGCAGTGCTGTGTCCTAACCCACTGCACCACAAGGGAGGGTCCTCATCTAGCTTTTCTTGGCTACTAGTTATAATCCAAACTATGGACAAGAAATGCTAGCCAGGCAGGTGGGCCTGTTACCCTTCTTCCTAGGGCCAGTCTTTAGACATATCATCATGTGGGTACCAATAGCCCAACTTAACATTCATCCAATATCCCTCTATTTTGTCTGCCATACTATCCCCAAGAAATGTTTCTTTTTTTTTTTTAAAACAAGATCTTCCCTTTCTAGAGTGAGCATCTTGTTGGAAAAGTATACTTACATACACTCTTATTTGTACTTAGTACAGAAAAGTACACAGAACAAGGGCAGGAAGCGGTTACAAAACAAAGTAAAATGTGCATGTAGTAGATAAGAGATCCAAAAGTTTGAGGACAGACAGAATATCCATGGCAAAAGAAATATAAGCAGTTTTGATTTTAGATAGCACTTAAGTGAATGTGCTGTTTTTCTCCAAAAAGAAAATATAAAAAACAAACAAAAAAAACAACAAACAAAACCAAACCCAGAACATTCACAGGACAGAGTGCAGGGAAGAAGCCACGGACCAGCAAGGTGGCCAGCGACGTTTGCTCAGTAGCTC